TAAAGAAAAATCCTCAACTCGCCTCGCCTCGCCCCGCCCCTAGGCTCCTCGCTCCGCCTCTTCGCACACTCGAGCTGTGAGCCTTCTGCGCAGGCGCAGGCTCCTGTCCCCGCCCTCCCCGCGCTTCCGGCGGCCGGGTGCATCCTGTAGGCAGCTAGATGCGCGCCCGCGGCCGGGCCGTTCTGAGTGCGGGCTTACGCAGAGGAGCTCTAAAACCGGTGTCCGTGACCCTGCCTCCCGACACCGACCAGCCTCTATTTCCTGGACGAGCCCGCCGCCCGGGGAATGCTAGAGCAGGATCCCGAGTGACCGGACGTCGTGAGGCCGGCCAGATGCCAGCGCCGGTGAGAGGGGGCGCAGCGTCGCGGAGTCTGAGCCCACGGCGAGCTGGCACAGTGGGTCGGGCTGCAGAGACGGTCACGTCAGCATCCATTCCCGGCAGCCTGGCAGCCTCGGTCCAACCTGGACGTCAGCACAGCAGATAAAAATAATGGGTCTTACCCGGGCGTGGTGGCGCACGCCTGTATTTCCAGTGCTTGGGAAGTGGATGGAAGCAGGAGGATCAGGAGTTCAAGGCCAGAGTGGTCTACATGGAACTTTGTTTAAAGAAAAGTAATGGCTCTTTAACCAGCCACGGAGCCGTGGTCATAGCTGAAGCCCAGCTTGGGCTGAGAGCAGGCCTCGGCTCTGGCCCCAGGTTCACTCCCCTTCTGTTGTACCACAATAGCTGAAGGATGTAGTCAGATGTCCCTACTTTGTTTACCCAGCTTTTGGTAGACTAAGGCCTGCTGTGATTTACTGACTCATAGATTTTTTATCCCAGTTCCTAGTTACTCTTATATGCAAGCAGTCAGGTCAGTTGGGGGCCAGCAGGATTATACCCTGAGCACTTACAATGGGACCAGGCAGGTGGTCATCCCCATGTGCACCCTTGCGTGTCAGGTCTTCTGGCCAGCATTGAGGAAGCCTCATGAGCTATCTTTTGAACAATGACAAGACAAACTCAGTCTGTTTCTCTGCTAGGCCCTGCCCAAGTTCTGGCCAGGATTAGGAACCAAGAGCCAGGTTCCAGAAACAAGTTTCCTTGAAGATGATACAATGTATGGGAATCAGAAAATGCCCGCCTTTTTGTATCAAACTCAGGCACCCACCTTCTCCCTTTGCTCCTGACTCTAGTTTCTTCTATGTACAGCAGCTGTGGGCAAAGAATGCCCACCCAACCCACCCTGGCACTGCCTACAGCCTGTCCTTACCCACACCATGTTCCAAGGCCCCTGAGGCTGTATTAGCTGGAGCATTCTGTTTATGCCTCGAAATGACCCACACATTGGACACTCCACTTTGCAGATAAAGAAACTCAGGCAGGCACGCTTGCTTTTGTATTTTTCCTGTTACAGCTTTCCCGAAAGATTGGGCAAAAAAAGCAGCGACTGGCAGAATCACAGCAGCAGCAGCAGCAGCAGCAGATCCCTAAAGAGAGGCCACCCTCAACCCTGGGCCTCCAGCGGAGCATCTACTTCTCCAGCCCAGAGGACCACCCTTCCAGGCTGGGACCAGAGTTTTTTGACCAGCCAGCAGTCACCCTGGCCCGTGCATTTCTGGGACAGGTAATATAAATGCAGGTGCAGGTTCCAGGAGCCCTAGTCGGGTCACTACTTGTTCACGTCTCTAATTCGGCCTTCCTTGTGCTCACATGGGTAGCTGCTTTGTTCACATTGGCCCCAGATAGTTTGGCTGTTGTCTAGGATCACTGCAAAGAATAAGAATATGCCGGGCGGTGGTGGCGCACGCCTTTAATCCCAGCACTCGGGAGGCAGAGCCAGGCGGATCTCTGTGAGTTCGAGGCCAGCCTGGGCTACCAAGTGAGTCCCAGGAAAGGCACAAAGCTACACAGAGAAACCCTGTCTCGAAAAACCAAAAAAAAAGAATAAGAATATTGATAGTGGTGTTCCTTGGTGGAGGTAGCAGGGCTACTGGCAACTGTCCTGCTTTGACAGTAACAATAGGTATGTTGTTAGCCTTACCCATCAGGGAAATAGGGACTGTTCTATCTGAAATCCCCTTAGGACAGGTTGTTTACAAGGACTATGGACAGTATAGGCCCCAGCATCTGTGAGGGACCACTTTTGCCTACCTTGTTCCCTTATGGCATGTTGCCTTCCCAGGCCCTCCACCAGGAAAGTCCTAGGAGCTCCCTCCAGCTCAACTGGGGTTCCCAGCATGCCCCTTGGAGACATGGGAGCATGTGAGTATAGTTAGTAAAGGGACACTCCCTGACCATTTTCTCTTCCCAAAACAGTCATCCCTGTCTTCAGTGTTCTGGGTTCCTGGAAGGATTTCCAGGCTTCCATGGCAAGCACTGGCCCTCTTTTTCTTCTCCCTGCCTGTTACATCAACCCTGAGGCATCATGGGTCTACCTGGACTGAGATGAAGGTGCCCTCTGGCCAAATAACCCCTCAAACCTAAGGATGTGAGGGACATGGCTGGATCCTGAAATCCTTCTATGAGCCCTGGTTAAGACTGCTGGCCGTTCTTAAGACCATGGACCAGACTAGGCACTGCATGAGCTGGCCCTGCTGGCCCTGTTTCTCATTAAAGCCTTGGCAATAGTGGGCACAGTCTGAGCATGGAGATCCTTTGTGGCTAGCCTAGCTTAATAAGCACACCACAGAATCTGGACTATCTCAGGAAGCTGTGTAGGGACCCCTGGGGGCCACTGAACATTTAAGGCTCTCAAGGGAACTCTGGGAGAGGATGTGGGAAAGCAGAGGACACCACTGAGGGGACTGTGAGGTCAACCTGCACAGTGAATCCAAGTGAATCTCGAGATGTGGTCAGAACCCTTAATGAAAAACAACTATAGTTGGTCAAGAAGGGCTGCTGACCTAAACAGCGGCATTCAAGCTCTGAGCAGACCAAAAGAAGAGGCACAATGGAGGAGCCAGGTAGCAGCTCCGTCTGGCTGGGCCTGGGTTCCTGGTGCATCCTGAGCCTAAGAGAGGAGGTCTAGGTGGGGACTGCCCAGGTGGGTGGCCCCCCATCCCTACTGTCTGAGCAGACTCACTGCCCACAGGTACTTGTCCGGCGACTCGCTGATGGAACAGAACTCCGAGGGCGCATTGTGGAGACTGAGGCATACTTGGGGCCAGAAGATGAAGCTGCTCACTCAAGGGGTGGCCGGCAGACTCCCCGCAACCGAGGCATGTTCATGAAACCTGGGACCCTGTATGTGTACCTCATCTATGGCATGTACTTCTGCCTGAATGTCTCCAGTCAAGGTTAGTGGTGCTGGGCTTGGGGAAGCAGACAGGCTAGCAGCTGGCCAGTGCCCCTGGAAGACTGAGGGTTTGGGGGGTGAGCTGGGCTCTTACAGGAGCCTTGCCAAAAGTCCTATTATGGGATCTGGCTCAGTTATTCTTACCCAGGAGCATTTCTGCCCCCTTGGGGACATCGAGCACTGTTTAGTGACACATTTAGTTACCGTAACTGGCTAGCATCTAGCAGGTAAAGGCTTGCTAGAAACCCTGTAATAACCACATAGGACCTTCTGGCCCCAGACAGCATTTATGGAGGGATGTTGGTGCAGTGCTCCTGGGAGAAACCGGCTCTCCTCTGGGGTCCAGCTCTGTCATGACAAGCGTGTAGCCTTGTGTTCTCACTGCTCTGAGCCTGAAGAACAGTACCATCCTGCCAAAGCCACCACTGGCTAGGAACGTGGTTGGCATATCTCAACATCTATGTGCTGAGCACCCCCCTGCTTGCCCAAAGTCACCAAAGGTTCTTGGTTTGTTGGACAAGTACTTGTGATGCAGGGAGCTGTGGTTGTCCGTAGCAGAAAGTTGAAGGTGTCCAGTGCAGGGGCCATGGGAGCTGGAGGGAACTGGCTCTATGCTTACCACAAAGCTGATACTGAGTGACACTATGGCAGACTAGACATCAAAAGATCACAAGAGGAGGCTGGAGAGGCAGTTCAGTGGTTAAGAGCAGTGGCTGCTTTTGCAGAGGACCTGGGTTCTCTTCCTAGCCCCCTCCCCAGTTTACATGTGCAGGAAGACAGCAGCACCCTTGTAACACTGGATATGGCAGGAGGTCTGAAGTTTACTTCCAGGCTGTCTGTCTGTCCCACAGGGGCTGGGGCTTGTGTCCTGTTGAGAGCACTAGAGCCCCTGGAGGGCCTGGAGACCATGCGGCAGTTTCGCAACACCCGCCGGAAAAGCCCTGTCAGCCGTACCCTCAAGGACCATGAGCTCTGTAGTGGTCCTTCCAAGCTGTGCCAGGCCCTGGCCATTGATAAGAGCTTTGACCAGCGAGACCTGGCCCAAGATGAGGCTGTGTGGCTGGAACATGGCCCTCTAGAGTCCAGGAGCCCAGCTGTGGTGGCAGCAGCTCGCATAGGCATTGGTCATGCAGGGGAGTGGACCCAGAAGCCCCTGCGCTTCTATGTCCAGGGCAGCCCATGGGTCAGTGTGGTAGATAGAGTGGCTGAACAGATGTATCAACCTCAGCAAACAGCCTGACCGGCTTTTTATTGTTTAAAAGTAGAATAAATATCTTGTTTGTGGGGAACTGTCCAAGTCTCAGCCAGAATTTGTGTGCATGAAGTTAATTCTTCATCCAGGTCAGAAAACCTGGGTACCCAGTATGTCTGGCATCGGAGAGGGGGATCATCATTGTATGGGTACACACACCTAGGACACTCCAGGGTAGCTGCATAAGGGTTGAGAAAAGGATCAGAAAGACACAACCTGTGTGTGTGAGGGTCTGGACTTGAGAGACGCATCTGGAAAACCTTCTCCAGCTCAGCAATGTTAAGATGCTGTAAGGACCAGATTGAACAGTAAGACTGATGGGGCTGGAGAGATGGCAATGGTTAAAAGTGCTTCCTGCTCTTCTAGAGTTCTGTTCCCAGCACCACACCCAGCAGCTCACAACCTCTGTAACTCTAGCTCCAGCGTATGCTTTTTTCTGACCTCTGAGGGAACCCACACTCACAAAGCTATAAATGAAAATAAATATACTTGTATTTCTTAAAGTAACATTGGTAACACATGTCTGTAATCCTAGCACACAGGAACAGAGGCAGGAAGATCAGGAGTTCAAAGTCACCCTTGGATACATAGCAAGTATGAGGTCTGGGCTGCATAAGTCTTTGTCTCAAAACTAAAAAGTCCAGCAATGTTGCCCCATAGCTTCTTCTGACCAGACGGACAGCTGGGACAAGAACCAGTTCTGCCAGGCTGGGGCTGCCCATCCTCCTAAGGCCAGCCAGGAGTTCTGGGTCAGGGGTAGACTAGTTCCCATTCACACTGGGCACGCTGCCTGGGCTCATGTGAGCAGGGCCTGGAAGACAGCAATGACGGGGTCCTCATGGGTGGTCACCACCAGCACGCTTCGGAACTTGTCAAAGAGCGTGAGCAGCTGGGAACGCCGTGTGTTCTCGTTGTACATGATCTCCTCCAGATGGTGACGGCCACGGAAGTAGTGAAGGAGCCTGGAGGACAGAGAGTGGCATGAGCCTAGCAGAAGGCCAGTGCTACTAAGGACTCCAACAGCCATTGGTGGGTAGACCTGTAAGCTGCCTGCAAGCTTGTAAAGAGCTGTGGGATGGGGCCCAAGCATCCTGGACTGATGTCCACCAATCCCCCAGTGACTGGTGGTGGGCCTGAAGTGAGTCCACAAAGCAGCCCAGCTGTGCAAACCCAGAGCAGCGCAAGCATGTACCCTGATGGAGGGAGGAATGCTAACGGCTTCCTTCTGTTCTCCCATGGCATTGGGTTCAGTCTGCTCCAGCAGTCTACTTTCTGCTGTTGGGTCCAGCACAGAGAAGGCCAGCGAACAGGTAAGGCCTGATCAGCACTTGGAAGAGTTGCAAATGGTCCCCCTACAGTCTGCAGTGTGATTCTTCAAACACTGAACACCGACAACCTGACCTCTCCCATTACACCATGCCCTTACAACACCTAAGTCAGGATGGACATGACAGACATCAAGCTGCTATCACACAGGGTCCTAAGTTCCCCCAGGGCCAAGAATTTATTCCTGCCAAGCCCCAAGTGGGTCAGAACCTGAGGGTAGCTGCCTCTCAAGGAGTGACAAGGAACATCCAGAAGTACTGAGTAAGCTGCCCACTAAACCCAGGGGCTTGGCCAGAGTCTGTATCCCCACCCCTGGACAACAGCTCCTGCCCGTCAATTCTAGGTGGAGACCCAGCGCGAGCTGTGGTAGTAGGCTGCTGTGCAGGTAGTTAGTAGGCCGTTATCCATGTCCCACTCAGTCCCACTCAGTCGCCTGCTCCCTACCTGGCAAAGGTGCGGAGGTCCTCAGGGTTTTGGGCTGCAGGCACACTGAGGATGGCAGCCCGCTCATGCTCTGAGAGGCTGGCCAGCAGGTTCTCTGTCATCCTCTTGTTCAGTGGTGAGTCCCCACTGGGGAGCAGCTCTGCACTGGAGTTGTCCATACTGGGGCTGGTAAGGGTCATGTCATCACTGCTGGCTGTGGGTTAGAACAGCCAAGTGATGCCAAGTGTGCCAAGATGGGAGCATCAAAGGCACTGACAGCATGCAGATCCTGACGTCCCTGCCACACTCCACTCCGGTACCCAACTGTACCATATGCTTTCATGCAAGAACTCACTGCCATCCCACCTCCTAAGTGTGTAGTATGCCTCTTGTATGGCTAACCTGGAACACAAGGAGCTGCCCTATAGAAAGAGCTTCAAGGGCCCAGAATGGAAGAATGCTGCATGCCCACTAAGGCAGGCATGGGTGTCTTGTTCTACATCTTAGCCAACATGGGGGATGAAGCACTAGATAAGAGTTCACATGGACGCCAACAGCAGACAGCTGTGGTCCCTGTGATGACAGTATGAGGCCCTGCTCTGAGCACAGGCTGGAGTGGGGGAGTCCAGCTGTGTTGCAGTAGGCAAAGGCTGCTCCTGACTACAGCCAAACGCTCAGAGGAGGAGCTTCCCGCTCAGACCAATGGCAGTACAGGAGAGGCAGGTGAGTGTACAGACATGTAAAGACACTTCTTACTCCAACAGTGCCCAGGCTTCCTGGATGCCATCCCAAAGTCTCCCAGCCCCCATTACCAGACAGATGTCCTGGATGGGGATCCTACTTGGGGAGCCGAAGCTTAGGGCGTTGGGCGTGCTGAGGCTGCGGCCACCAACTCGGGCCGTAAAGGGGACATCATCCTCTCGCAGTCGAGGTTCCTCTTCACCGGGTGAGGCCATCAGGCAAACATAGGTGTGCAGCTGGATGAGGAGCCGGCGCTGCAGCATCCACACCACCATCTGAATGAGCTGGGTCTGTGGGTGAGCAGAGCGAGACAGTGGGGACTGCTTCCCTGACTCCAGTCTTGATTCTATTCCTGGAGAATGAGAACTGTGGCCCTTAGCAGCCCCAATACCTACACAGGAAGGCCTCCTGTTGGAAGAAGGGACCCTCAACTGCTGCTTAGCTCGAGAAGAATTCCCAGAGCGCACTTGCAGGAGCTCTGATCTCACACACCAGCTCCCTCCCTTTTCTGAGCTGACCCTACCTACAGCCGGGTCTGTCCTTGCCTCCCTCCCTCCAGCCCACTGAGCCCTGCTCCCATTAACAGTCCACTGCTAGGCAGGCCCCCCCCACTGTTCAGAGAAGCAACCGCCCTGGGAGTCCTTGGCTCTAGCTGAAAGTCTGCTCTGAGAGCAGAGATGATCCCAGAAGGATATGAGAAAGGGGCCTACTGCTCCAGTGTGGAGCCAACAGCTCTTCCTTGGTAAGGCACATTCAGGCCTTAGGAGCACTGGCCAGGCAGTAGCCAGCACCAGTGGAAAAGTGCCTCTCAGGCACAGACACCAAGCAGTAAGGTGTGTGCAGACAGAACCAGTGCTCTCGTCTTTGGGAGGCCCAGAAGAGCTGCTGCTCGGGTCACTCATGGAAGGGCTGAGTTACTGGGGAGGAAGACATGCATACCAATCATGGTCAAAACCAAATAAAATTTGATAGGAATTCAAGCTATTGAAACACAAAATATAAAAAATAAAAACACAAAAGCTTCATAAGCACTAGACAGTATGTCCCTGGGATGTGGCAAACCAAACAGCTCCATCCCAGCCCCCTGACAAGGCCTGAAGCAGCTGCTCAGACATGGCCTGGAAGATCAGCCGTTATCCAGACAACTGGGAAGTTTCTGCTGGGGTGGGAGCACTGCCAGACCCTCCCCCAAGAACTGCCTGGGAGAGAGGAGGGAGGGTACAGATGCAAAGTGGATCTTTCATCCTCCTGGCTCAGTTCCTGGAAACCAAGGGCTCCGTGAAAGGCAGCTTTAAACTTTGGCACACTCGGCATGTAAATGAGCTAAAAACCCAGGATCTTATTCCCATTCACAATTTGAGAAGGGGAAGTATTTGACTTTAAAGACTGATTTTGCCCAGTGTATCTGGCACCTATTAAAACAAATACTTTGCTTTTGAAGACAAAGCATGGAGATCACCCAGCTTGTCTCAGACACCTGTCCTCTTTCCCCAGATCCTCTCCTAGAGCTCAAAGTACTTAATAAAGAGCAGGGGGCAAAGCCTCTGTGCTCCAAGTCACCATCTCACCATCTCTTGAGTGTGGGGCTGTGAAAAGTGACTGACTCCTGCAGCCCACTGCACCTTTAGAAGCACCCCCACCACAACCAGCCTCCAACTGCCAGCCTCTGCCCTGACCCAGGCCCACCAGGCAAGACAGTCCTAGCCTGATGTACAGTAGGTCTTAGGAAAAGGACTCTAGGCCCAGAGACCCTAGGATTCTACACAAAGACCCCATGGTTCCTAAGCCCCCAGAGGAAGGGGTGCAGGAACTAAGCTGTCTTGGAAAGCAGGGCCCAGGCTTAGTGAAAACAAAACTGTCTGCAGCCTCCGTTATGAGAAGCCCCTCTTCCAGGAGGCAGCACAAGGGGATCCTGTCAGCCCAAGAAAAGCCAATGAATGCCCTTCTGGCAAACTTAACCCAGTCCTAGACCCGAGGATACCCATGGTGGGCTCCATGGACCACAGGAAGCCTGCAGTACTCACCAGCAAGTTCCCCCAAACTAAGGCAAAAAGGTCCACAATGCCTTTGAGTCAGGGGCCACCAGACAGGGAGTTAGACCCAGTCTACCTTATAAGCCACATGGGGGCTTTAAAGACTCACCTCCTGTGCTGGGGGAGCCAGAGGGCTCCTGAACTCGGACAGAGAAACAGGCAAGGAAAACTTGGCCAGGATGGATGGCAGGTCATGGGACGGGAACTGGCGGGAGAACTGCTCGGCCAGTGGGGAGTACCTAGAGCAGACAACGGTGGTCACAATGCAATCTCCCATGCTCACAACAACCGTCTGGGTGAGCATAATGACAACAGAATCAAGTATGGTGACCCAGCAGGTCTTTAGTTGGACAGAGTTGCAGGCACTGTTCCCTCAAGACGTGGCAGGAGCCACAGAACCCCTCTCTGTTCTCAGCCAGGAAGAGATAGCCTTAACATGGGCAGCATCACATCAACTGGGATCTACACCTGTGTGAGCATGCGCATCGGGATACAGTTAGAGCTGGCCTCAGGGCTTCAGAGTCTCTGGTGCCTGGCCACTGGAGGTGCCACTAAAGGGTACTGCTGGGCTCTTTCTGGCTTTAGACTCTAGATTTTGGCAGCCAATGGTACTCACAGACACACACTGGCATTGGGAGACAGGACATAGACGTTGTTCTCACACAATGGGTAGATGATGACGGCCTTGCCCCAGTATACCAGGTGAGCTGCAAGCTGGAAGACCTGCAGACCAAGGGGAGATGGAGGGACTGAACCTGGAGGCCATGGCCTTCCTGCCTACACTCTGGAACACCTCCAATCTAAAGCAGCACTGTACCACCCCAGCCCCTGGATCAGTGAGTACCACCAGCACTGTGTTGTGGAATAACCTTTTTGTACACTGTGAATATGTGTCATTCTGATTGGTTTAATAAAAAGTTGAGCCGGGCAGTGGTGGCGCACGCCTTTAATCCCAGCACTCAGGAGGCAGAGGCAGGTGGATCTTTGTGAGTTCGAGGCCAGCCTGGTCTACAGAGCGAGATCCAGGAAAAGGTGCAAAGCTACACAGAGAAACCCTGTCTCAAAAAAAAAAAAAAAAAAAAAAAAAGTTGAATGACCAATAACTAAGCAGGATTTTCAGGGCAGAGAGGACGCTAGGAAGAAGGAGTCGCCAGACAGACAGAGAGGGAGCAAGACATACAGGACAACAGGTAAATGCCATGAAGTCATGTGGCAACACATAGATGAATAGAAATGGGTTGATTTAAGTTATAAGAGCTGGTGGGACAAGCCTAAGCTATAGGCTGAGCTTTTATAATTAATAAGAAGTCTCCATGTGGTTATTTGGAAACTGGCAAGTGGGACAGAGAAAGACTACTACAGCACTGTTTCTGTGTTCAGAGTTCCCTGTGCTGCTTGGTACCACTGTTTTGCTAGACAGTAAGCACATGAACACAAGGACACTGAAGTGCTGGGGAACCTGATCAGCCTACCTGGGCTGGATGTTTCCAGCAGAAGCATAGTGTTCCCATGGCAACCAGAACTCCAGCACCATTCTCCAAAGTAATGAAATATGGAGTCTCTCATTGTATCCACTCCTGCATCCTGAAAGTCCCAACTCATCCCTATGTATCTTGCTTTCCCCAAAGACCATCCTGCTCTCCTAGGCTCTCATATACCAGGAAATACACAAAGACACCAGAAATCCTTTCTAAGGGTGGCCTTCATACACACTAACTTCATGGAGACAGCCAGACCTGAAAATACAGCACCACAGCCCTTCATGAGAAGGTGTGTGAAATCCCAAGCAATGACGTTCTACATAGGTCACAAAGACCCCTCCTCCATCCTTTCAGCAGATGGGCCCAGGGTGGTGAGTTCTCCTGCCTGGACACAGTATCTTATATTACCAAGGGCAGGTATCTGCCAACAACCAGCTCAAACATGGAGGAAACAGCCATCTCACTGTTGCCCCTCTTTGCTCTTGTCCCAAGTGCCACTGGCATGAGCTATCAGGCAGACATGTCCACTTTCTCTATTTCTGCTGACACTTGATTTCCATCTCCCCTCTACCCCTAAAACATTCTCCACTAGGCAGCCAGAACACCACTTTGGGGACTAAAAGTCCAAAATCAGAATGACAGGGCTGGAATCAAGGTGCCAGCAAACCTGTGCTCCCTTGGGGGTTCAAACAAAGCATCTGTCCTTGTCTATCCCAGCTGCTGGCATTCCTTGGCTTGCAGCCTCATCAAGCCAATCTCCACTCTTACTTACTTTCTTCTCTTCTGCAATCAACTCTCCTTCAACTCCCTTCTTCAAAATAGTGTGTGTGTGTGTGTGTGTGTGTGTGTGTGTGTGTGTGTGTGTGTTCATGCTAATGTACCCTCAGAAGCCAGAAGAGACTGTAAGATCCCCTGGAGCTGGAGTTACAGGAGACTGTAAACTGCTCAGCATGAGTTCTAAGAACCAAACTCGGGTCCTCTACAAGAGCAGTGAAGTACTCTTAAACCTCTCAAGTCAGTGGTTCCCAACCTTCCTAAGGCTGCGACCCTTTAATACAGTTTCTCAGGTTGTGGTGACCCCCAACCATAAAATTATTTTGTTGCTACTTCATAACTATAATTTTGCTACTGTTATGAATCATAATGTAAACATCTGATATGCAGGACATCAGAAGCTCAGTAGTAGAGTGCTCGCCTAATCAGTCATGAGGCCCTGGGTTCAATCTCTAGTACTGCCAAAAAAAATACGTGTACATACATTAAAAACCTGAAAAAAGCAGGAGGATCTCAGTGAGTTTGAGGCCAGCCTGGTCTACAAAGTGAGTTCCAGGACAGCTAGACTGTTTAAAAAAAAAAAAAAAAAAAAAACCTGAAAAGAATTAAGTATGGTGACACACCCAAGAGGTCAGGAGGCCAAGGCAGGAAAATTACAAGCTTGAAAACAGCCAAGGCAGGCCAAGTGGTAGTGGCATACGCCTTTAATCCCAGCACTTGGGAGGCAGAGGCAAGTGGATCTCTGAGTTCAAGGCCATCCTGGTTCTAATGAGTGAGTACCAGGACAACCAGGGCTGTGCAGAGAAACCTTGTCTCTAAAAACTAAAAAAAAAAGAAAGGAAGAAACCAAACAGCAAAGGCCACACAGAATTCAGCCTATCTCAAAACAACAGAAGTCTGGAGGGGCCTTTAATCCAGTACTCAAGAGACAGGGGCAGGCAGATCTCTAAGTTCTAGGCCAGTCAGGGAGACATAACAAGACGCTGATTCAAACAAACTGAAATGCTGACAGGATCTTCAGTGTTTATCTCTGGAATAGAGGATTGTGGGGACTTTCTGATCTGTAATTTATGTTATATAGAACTTTCATGAGAAACTGTTAATAATTTTTCATTTATTTGTATTAATTATGTGTATATGTGTGTTCAGGTGTGTACAGGTGCCCTCAGAGACCAAAGGCATCAGATGGAGTTCCCAGAAGCTGCCTGATCTGGGTACAGGGCATCCAGCTCAGGTGCTCTGCAATAACAACAGAATGAACCACCTCTCCAGCACTATTTATTAGTGATTCATCAAGACAAAACTCCCAGAATTTTATGCTCTCTGGATTGATATGGTATGAGTGATTTTCTAATTGTTTTATCTTGCTTTTTGAAGACAAGGTCTCCCTTCATAGCCCAGGCTAGCCTTGAACTCAGATCCTTCCACCTCAGCCTCCTGAGGGCTGGAATTACACAAGTGTGCCCCAAGGCCCATCAGAGTGATCTTATATTATGTGTGACATTCACACCCAAGGCACATGTTCCCCGCAAAGGTTCACTGTACCCCACAGGGACATCGACAGGAAACAGCAGTCCCAGAGAATGGTGAGGTGAACCACCAGGGCTAGAACTCCCAGGGCCTCACACAAGCACACCAGCAGTAAACTCCTATTTATATCAGGTTCAGCAGGGTGTTGGTACGGAAGGAAACAACACCCTCTTCCCTGATCCCAGACAAGGCCAAGGCAAGGAAATGGAGGAGACATCAAAGGTTTATCAAAGAGGACTTGACAGTGAGGGTCAGGCGCAGTCTTAGCACCGACTCCATCAAACAGCCTCTTAGTAAAGTCTTTTCAAACCTGCAGTAGGAAATGAAAATACACTATCATCCATGCAGGCCAAACTCTTTACAACAGCAGCGTTGCCCCTCTGTGTGGGTATCTGGGACAATGAATATATTCAAAGTTCTGTGTCTTAGATGTTACAGAGGGAAGCAGAAATGTGGTCCTTGCTGGGTCTCGTCCAGCTTAGGAGGCCAAGTTGAAATGCAAAGGCAGGAATGCTAAGTGCTCTCACAGAGCCCAGGGAGAGTCAGATAGAGAGAAGGAACAAACTTATTCTGAGAATAGAAAGGATTTTTTTTGCGGGGGGAGCCCAATAGGTCCACAAAGCAAAAACTACCAGCAATGCCAACTCACTTCTGTTGTCCACATGAGCCATAGCAAGAGAGATCAGAGAGGGCCTGCCTCAGAGCTGTGGCCACTTCATCCCACTGAGAAACGGAGCAAACGGAGGTGCCTGGGGTGGGCTTTTGCTACCCCCTGGTGGCCAAAGGGTGCACACCACTACCAAATGAGGATATTGGCATCTATTCACTTGGTCCTGTCCTTACACTCGTCACCTGGATGGGACTTCCCGCCCTGGCATAGGTGACCTGGAGAGCACTCCAAGCCCCTGCACACCAGCTTCTTCTGTGCTTTTCCTCCACCACACTTCAACCAGAAACACAGACAAGGCCGAGGGGCCCTCCCTCTGAGCCCAGGGTGGAATCTAGCACTTGAATCTTTTCCATTTCTGCTGGTCTGAGACACAGTGCTGCCTCACGAGTAGAGAACAACCTGATCAGTTGTTTCCCATTTGCCTTGGGGCCTGTCTCTACAGCTCTGCCACACCTCCTCATTGAGAATGAGGGTATTTTGATGACTTTGGGGCTGGGTTGGGAACAAAAAAAAAAAAAAAATGGGAGTGGGGCAGTGAAACAAAAGGGATACACGTGGACCAGTAACTCACTTAGATACTGGTCCTGCAGACATCAGAGATTGAATTAAACAGATTCTGTCTTATAGGGAAGGCTTTCTCTGAACATTTGATTGGATTTAACTGATCTCTAGAATAAGGCTGAATCTCTGCATGTCTCATCTTTAAAGATGTATTTTATTAAGAAAAGAGAAAGAGCCGGGCGGTGGTGGCGCACGCCTTTAATCCCAGCACTCGGGAGGCAGAGCCAGGCGGATCTCTGTGAGTTCGAGGCCAGCCTGGTCTCCAAAGCGAGTTCCAGGAAAGGCACAAAGCTACACAGAGAAACCCTGTCTCGAAAAACCAAAAAAAAAAAAAAAAAAAAAGAAAAGAGAAAGAATAAAAGGTGGGGAAATGTGCAAAGGACAGAGGCACACACAGTAGAGCAAGTTAGCAGCTCAGGTCCGAGCTCTCACTTCCCACACGCTTGCTCATGTGTCACTGTGACTGTCCTGAGCTGGTGGGTCTGCTGTATGCTACTACGTCCCCAGCCTGTCCTCCAGGCCATTGCTGGGAACACTTCTCTTCTTTCTCTCGTGGCTCATCTCACCTCTGCTCATTGAGAAGGAAGTCATTCCAGTGCTCACAAAGACAGCTCTAAATCAGGTGTGACTCAGAGGCCAGAACCCCAAGCCTCCCTCCCACCTAGACCACTCTGGTCTGTGGCAGGTCATGGACTGTCTACTTACGTGCTAGACAAGGACCCTGGAGAGTCAGCATGGCAGACAGTCTGCTCTTCTCAGAACTTAGCACTTCCCCCACAGGCTGCCCCCAAATGTACCCAAAGGCCTCTTCTTCCCACTCTTCCACGTCCCTAGCCTACCTGCAACAAGGCCAGATCAGCATCCTGGGCTAGCTGCTGCAGGTTCTTCACAGCAGATGTGGTCTTGATGACCCGCACTAGAGCCGGAGAGCAGTCAATGGGAAGCTCACTCAGCAGAGACTTCTCATCACTGAGTAGTAGCAAGGCATGGTACGGGCTGAAGGACAGAGGCACATGTCAGTGGAACATGAAGGGCCACAGACCCTGTACCAGGTAAGTGCTTGGGAACACCAAGGCACAGCCAGAGTTCATAGGCACTGAACTGTGGGCAGGAGAGGTTTAGGGAGAAATCAGAGAAAGCAGTCACGTGTCCAGGGGCCTTAATAAAATCTGCAAGGATTACTGCTGCCCTAGGGGGGCAGGGTGCAGAAATTAGAAAAAAACTAGGGAGAGTCTGAATAGCTGACTTCCCCATCCCCCTTCTGGGATTTCCCAGTACCTCCTCTGCGTGTGTGTGTGTGTGTGTGTGTGTGTGTGTGTGTGTGTGTGTGTGTGTGTGTGTGTGTATGTGTGTGTGTGTGTGTGTATTTATGTATGTGGGGGGAGGCAGTGCATGAGCATGTGAGTATGGAGACCAGAGGTCAGCATCAGATGTCTTTATCACATCGAGCCTGGAATCAAGTGCCTTTACCTACTGAGCCAGCTCATCCATCTTCAACCTTATTTTACTTGTTTGTTTATTTTTGAGACAGGGTCTCTCTGTACAGTCCTGGCTGTCCTGCAACTCACTATATAGACCAGTCTGACCTCAAACTAGAGATCCTCCTGCCTCTGCCTCCCAAGTGCTGGGTGTAAGGGCCTGCACTACTATGCTCAGCTCTCCACCTTATTTTCTGAAATAGGACATCTCATTGAACTTGAAGCTTACCAATTTGGCTAGACTGGTTGGCCACCAAGCCCTTGAGATCTGCCTGTCTCTGCTACCTTAAACACATGTACATACACATGCACACACACACATATATAAATAAATTAGAATAAAAAGCAAAAAAAAAAAGTTCTGAGGATGGTGGCACATGCCTTTAATCCCAACAACTGGGAGGCCGAAGCAGGTGAATATCTGTGAATTCAAGGCCAGCCTGGTATACAAAGTGAGTTCCAGGACAACCAGGAAGACAGAGAGACCCTGTCTCATGAGGGAAGAAATGTATGTATGTATGTGTGTATGTATATATGTGTGTATATACATATACATATATATGCATGCATTAGTAAAGTGCTTACCTAGCTTGTGCAAAGTCCTAGGTTCAATCATTAGTACCACAAAAAAAGAAAGGGGGGGGGGGGTTCTTTCTAAAGCAGGAAAAACAAAATATCCACCAACTATGACTAGAACTACACACATATGCTCAGCAGGAAAGGAGGCCATTTGACCTGGAGCACAGAGGTGGGAGGAGGGAGGACTGGGCGATGGGTGCTCTGAGCATGCCTGTCATTTCCAGTGTTAGGAGTGTGCAGATTTCTTTTCATCTCTTCTTTCTCCTTTGTAGTGTTAAGGACAGAACTAGAACCCAGGGCCTAGAAAGCACTAGACCACTGAGCTTTGTTCCAGCCCAGCTTTTCCTTGCAGGAAATCACTTAATCTAAGAAACTACTTGGGTTCCCATGATTTCTGACTGAAATGCTGACAGTTACTGAGTGTACTATACCATGAAGGCAAGCTGCTAAAGGCCTAGCTTAGCCCCAGGCTACCCTTGGCAGGTTCTACTCGCCCAGACTATGCTGGGAGGGCCCAGGAAAAACCTGGGATGGGTCATTTCTGGGCAGAACTGGATGTAAAATCATGTGGTTTTACTAACAGCAAAGCCCTACCTCCAACTTCTGTGGCAGGAAGAAGAGCATTTCTGAAATGAAGTAACTAGTAAAGTCTCAGGCAGCAGCTGACGGGAAAGGCATGATGGAGTTGGCTCTTACCGGATGGCTTTCAGGCTCCGCTCAATAGCCTCAGGAGGGATCAGACTTGAAGCTGCATAGTGGATCTTGTGGGGCAGACAGAAGCTCACTTCCAGCCAGCTGTTAATGTGAAGCCGCACCACACCAGATGTGCAGAGGCTGTGAAGAGTGGTCACTGTTAGTACAGCTACCACCTGCCTGTTCCCATAGACCACCACCCTGTTCACACACTGCCCTGCTAGCTAGAGGAAAATGCAGGCGGAGATCTCAGGGCTAAGAGAGTATTTTCTCAGGTCTCAATATATCTAAGAACATGTAAAGAACACACACACACACACTCTCAGAGCCCCCCACCCCCCGGAATAATGTATAATCCAATCAGCCGGTCAGGGCTAAAGGATGCTGCTTCTGTCTCTCCTGGTATTTCTGTCTGCAGAGCCCTGGCAGACAGACACCTGGCATCCACAGCACATCCTCTCTAAGAGGACCTGTCTTGAACACCTGATACACACTCAGGCACAGGCTGGGCAGTTGGGCAGGATAGGGCCTAGTTCCAAAGAGAAGAAATGGGTAGAAGAGGGAAGCGGTCAATGGTAAGAAGCACAAAGCACCCACCTTCCCATGCTTTGCTGGTGGTAGGAGTGCTAAGGTACAGTGTATGTAGCGATCACTCAGAGGACATACAAGTGACTATCCAGCCCAGCCCCCACATCCTACCACGGCAAACCTCTTACTCCACATTCTCAATGACTGACACATAGTCACAGCTTCAGCATGTTCAGGGCAAACATGGCAGCACTGTCCCCAACTCACTTATTTCAAACAGAACTCCAAACCATCAATAAATCCTATGTGCTCTACCTGCAAGGATAATCAAAATCCAGACCTCTTCAGCAACACCAGTCCAGAGCTGCCCAGACAACCAACACCTGGGCCACTTTCTTCACAGCTTCTACCTGGACAGTACCATCCAACGTCTTCCAACACAGAGAACCCCATGGCCTGCACACACTTCCTGCTCTCTTTTCCTGCTCCATCACTCAAGTCTAGCCATTGTCAAGACCCTGGCACTTAAAATTTTGCCATGCACTGTCTTCCCAAATGCCTCATGGCTCTCTCGTTACTTCAACCTCAACCAAAGTCACATTCTCAATGAGGTATTCCCTGACCATGACACCTGGTCCCACCTTCACTCTGACCCCTCACCCTGTGCCCATGTACTCAGGACCACAGGATACTACTTGTCTGCTACCTACTGCTGTGCTGACCAACCGCACCATGTCTACGCCAGGTTTGCACTGGCATACACAGCACTCATGTAGAGGAGGGGGAGAACCCAGAGTCAGGCAATGGTCTTCAGGAACACTGTCTGCTGAGAACAGGCTCCATATGGGCATGTGGCCCTCTAGGCTGTCCCTGGAAGAACCACACACAGGAAGAGGGTTGTGCAAAGGAGTCCCACCCCATAGCTCAGCCACACAGTCCTTGTGTTAAGTGCCAACAGCATGTGCTTATTAAACAGAATCTGTTCAGGTCTATATGCAGTGTGGCAGGAGTATGTTAGCACACTTCTGCAGTTCTACAAGTGACATAAAGGAAGGAAAGCGACCGTGTAGGCAAAGTCCCGTAACTACTGATTCTGCACCAGAAAGCTGTTTCTTGTCATCCGCCCCAACCCAGTCAAGCTCAGAGCAAAGCAGGCAGGTAGGTAGCCTCCTTCATCCAATGTAGGAAATACAACCTAAAGCTTCATGATAACTTCAGTTCACAAATAAGCGTACAGGACACATCACTTGGTTTTCAAACTGCCCGTTTCTAAAGCACCTTCCCCCATCTCGTTTCCTTTGCTGCCTCCTACCCAGAAGAGCAGCCAAGAAATACTTTCCCATCACCACCCACCCCGCTGCTATTCTCAGCTCCCAGTATGGGAATGGCCAAGTATAGGGCAGGCCAGCAGCCCAAGGAGCTGTGGCAAGAGTTCTTCCTGTCCAGGTCAAAGGTGGAAATGTTTGGGTACTGTGGGAGAAACGAGGTCCTTGCTCCAGTCCCAGGAAAACACATTTCCTTTTGTCTTTTCTCTCCCCTACCCCCAACTTCTTTTTTTGAGACAGGGTCTTTGTATGTAGCCCTGGCTGTCCCAGGTCTCGATATGCAGGCTGGCTTCAAACTCACAGGATCTGCCTGCCTCTGCCTTCCAAGAGCTGGGAGTAAAGGTTTGTGCCACCATGCCCGCTCCTTTTTTTAAGACACAATTTTGCTGTGTAACCCCAAACTGACTTCAAACATGTGATCCTCCTGCCTCTCTACCTCCCAAATGCTGAGATTCTCAACATGTGTCACAACATAGCTGCTGAGGACTATTATAGCCTCTTCCCTGAAGCCTCCAGCAATAAACCAAGAGCCCTAGGCTTCTGAATTTCCCCAGAGGGTTGCCAAGAACTCTAGCCAACAGTTCCAAACACAAAAACCAGTCTTTTCCCCTTCAAGCATGGACTAGGCAGTGGGGACAGGAGATTTGGAAGAACACATCTGTGACTCCTCACTCCCCTAGGATCCCTGCAGCACTGACTGTCTGTTCAATGCAAAGCACGCCATGGCTCCCAAATACGTCTGCTTCTCCCAGGGCCTCAGCACCGAGAATGGGTGTAGGGACAGGCACACGCTGTGGCTGAGTCTAGAGGGCAACGGTGGTTCACAGGCCCTTGGGGAGAACAAAATAGACGGTTTAATGAGTGTCAAGATGTGGGTCGAAGACCAGGCTCCCTGAGGAGTCAACACACTTGGACTCTTCTAGAAATGGGCCCTAACCATGCATTTCTGAGTGCAGTTTCCAGAGCTGTACCGTTCTTCGGGATGCAAAGTTCACAACCAACCTTCAGAAACCACCTAAGGAAACACTGCATCATAAGCTCCCAGGACCTACACACAGATGGGAAAAGAGAGCAAGAGGGGAGAGGTCACAGTGTGCTGCATGGAGTCATACCCATGTGAACACCAGCCAGGCTCCTCCAATATACTAACGCATGGTCAGAAAGGGAAGAAATAATAGGCCCTATTTGTGAGCTCTCTTATTTAGGGTATAGCACAGGGTAGCTACTGGAACAACATGAAATCAGAATTAAATGCCAAGACTCCTATCATTTCAAATACAATTGAGCTGCTCCACCTAGGACCTCAGTGATGCTGTGACAACCATTTGCTAGGTGCAACTCTAAATACTGTTTCAGGTACCTGGGATACAACAAGAAAGGAAACAAATTACAGCCTTGCACTTGGAAGAATCTTACTCTGGCTGGCACTAAGGAAGACAACCTTTAGCAAATTATATAAACCACAGAGTCATAGGGAAAGGCACATCAGAGACGTGTGACAGTATTGGCCAGGCTTAAATGCTAGCTGTGGCCTTAATAACACCTGCACAGCTCAAGTGTCTCTGCATCCTCCTGACAGCTGACTTTGGATTCCCAGCCTATGATTTTCCCTCTGAATACTTGGTACTGAGCTGTAGCCTCTTTACAAACTAACCAAGCTCTGTGTGTGGAGACACTGAGCGCTGCCATTAGGAGTCCCCCAAGGAACAGATGCACTCTAGACAAACCTCTGGAGTACACTGGGAGGACAGGGAGCATTAGAAATGTTCCTGCCCCACTTTAGCCTCTAGCTCTGGAGAAAGTCAGGGGAAAGCTTCCCAGCAAGAGGGTAAACCAGGAAACACACTAACATCTGTTAAGAGAAGGGAAGAAAAGGGGCTGTCCCTACTCCTGTAATCTGCATTTCAAGACAAAACCCAGGGTCTGCACCCAGAAGTTTCCTGCTAAGCTTGTGTTTCTGTTTGCAAGTGTTTCATTATTTAGTCTGAAAACAGTCTACAAAAAAAAACAAACAAACAACAAAAAAAACACTGTCCCCAAGCTTATCCAGCCTTCACAGCAGAAGAGCCCAGCCCTTTCTGCAACAGGAGATAATGCTTCTGCCAGAGCCCTGCATCTGCACACCATGACTGTGCAGAGCACCAGGATCCTATGATCCACACCCAAGATGCACCCTGTGTAAGCTTATCTCACTCCCTCACTCCTCAGCATGAGAAAGAATGCCAACTCCTACCTTTAGCTAAGAACCAAAGGTCACTTTTTGACCTCCACTCAGCTCATCCCCTTCCTACTCTGAGACTGAATCATGTGTGCTGTGTCCTCTGCCCCACACGGCGGCAGTCAGGCTTCCTGCTCCATGTGGTGGGATGCCGCACAAACCAAGAGACGTGCGTGGGCTTCAAAAGTCCTACCTTGAGACTTCCAACAAAAATTTACATATAGGTGCATCTTTGTGAAATACAGACTGTAACTCTGGGAATATTCCGAGCCATCTACAGGCTTGCTCTTGAGCAGTGAGCAGTACAGCGAGCACCACCTGCCTGGCCAGGCCTAGACAGCGCTCCAAGAGCTAAGTCTCCCAGACTCTTCACAGTCCCTGTTAACTCAGGGAATCACTCAACAAAACATTTCTTCACATGGGCTCATGGAGTTCCATAAGGAGACACAGGTACTGGGACAGTCAGGGTGACCTCCTAAGAGATTCCTACTTCCAGTCTATATTCACAGACACTTAGGGAACAGGATTACTAGCTACCCAACCATACCAGAACCCTGGCTTTGGTTAAAATAGTAAATCCAGAATGATTCTGTTGAAAAGATGCTCTCAAAGCTCTACACAAATTAAGCCCACAACTTCCTGTCTTTTAGGTCTTCTCTGAGGAGAACTTTCTCAGGAATCTGGCAGGACCTGCTGTCAGAAGACAGCTACCCAGCCAATATCACTCAGCCACACCTTTTTATTGCTGAGAGAACAGGACCTCAAGGCCAACCACAGACCTTGTGGGATGAGGCTGGGGGAATCAGGCAAAGAGGGCTACTGGGCAATTACAGAGCTGTGCCAATACCAGACAGGGGTGGAAGCAGAAGAGGTCACAACTGCCCCATCCTGCCAACGAACTGTGGCTCTCATCCTCACCAAGGCAGGTTATAGGACCCAGGACTGGCTGGTGTAAGAGTTCACCTGAGGAGTGAGACCCTGTGTACTAACAGACAGGATATCTGGCTAGGAGAAGAAATCTTTCTCACCAAAAGCTCAAATTCCTGTGCTCCTCCAAATTGGTCCACTAGGTGGTGCAGTGGTGCATCAAGCCCTGAGTTGTGCCCTGGCAGATGACAGACAAAGCTATAAGGGCTTATCTGACACCGCATGTGAGACCCTGCCTTGGAGGAGGTGGGAATGAGGGGTGGACTGTGGGGGAGGACTGGGGGATGGGAGGAGGGAGGACAGGGGAATCTGTGGTTGGTATGTAAAATCAATAGAAAATATCCTAATAAAAAAATTTTATGTTTAAAAAAAAATAATAAGGTCTTATTTCCTTCCAACTTTCCACCACAATCCCAGTCCACTCTTTTTTCTTTAGAAACCTAAAGTCTCTGATTTGCTTTTTACTTTGTTTGTTGGATGCTATGTAGCCCAGCCTTTTCTACATAAGTGAGTTAGTTCCAGGCCAGCCAGGGCTACATAATGGAACCCTGTCTAAAAAAACAAAGAGACAGAGAAAGCCAGACAGAGTCACACACCTGCAATCCCAGCAGAAGGAGCTTAAGTCTCAAGCCAGCCCAGACCACTCAGGGAAACCCTATCACACACACACACACAATTTTGTTTTTAATATTAAGTATTTTGTATACATTTTAATAGAGTACTCAGTCACCAATATAATCAACATTAGGTTCCATTGTGTCCCTACACTTGCTGACCCTATACATCAGTGTCTCACACTCCAGCTCTCCTGGAACAAGGACTGTCACAGTCAAGTCTAGTTCTACCCACTGAACCTAGATTTCCTCACGTGTGAAGAGGTAGCCTTCAATGAGACCCACCTCAATAAAAGTGATCAAGAACCTGGCAGTAAGTTAAGCTCAATAAAATGTCACTTTGTTTAATGGTCGAAAAAAAATTTCAGGCTTTCGTGTATAATCTTGTATAATCTTCTGTTTTAAAAGGAGTCCGAAGTGATGTGTCCCTGCTAAGTATACATCACTCAACAAAGGGGCTGCCATTTGAAAAATGGACACCAAGGTGGCTTTCCTGAAGAGTGGCCACACAGCCGTCCCTTCCCTAGCCTCCCTTGTTGCTGTCTCAGCAGAGTCCCAGCACACACAGGCCAGAGCATTCCCCAGTCTATGGCAGCACTGCTGCAGGGTGTTCCTGCTCTAGAAGGAAGCTTAGGACAGCTGACCCAGGAGGAGGGATTAAACAAGCATGGCTGTCTTACCTGTCGTAAGCTTCCTTGAGGTCCCTAGCCAGCTTGCACTTGGGCAGGATGTGGTGGAACGGGGACTGAGGACCTTCATTTGCTACAAGAATCACAACAGGTAAGGATCACAGCTTCCAAAGCAAGGAAACATGCACAGGCCAGAACAGGAACTATAGAACAAAGTCAACATTAACAAGTAATGTTAAAGCAATGTTAATAATAATAATAATAATAAAATCAGTGTATCCCTGATCCCTGTAAAATAAAAGTAGACTCATGCTGATCTGTGAAATTATTTCTTTTTTCTTTTCTCTTTTTTTTGGGGGGGGATTTTTCAAGACAGGGTTTCTCTGTAACAGTCCTGGCTGACCTGGAACTCGCTTTGTAGACCAGGCTGGCCTTGAACTCACAGAGATTCACCTGCCTTGGCCTCCTCGATCAAGTGCTGGGATTAAAGGCGTGCGCCACCACAGCCCGGCTGTGAAATTATTTCTATATAAAATATCTATATTTAAATTTGTCACTGGCCTACACAACCTTGTAGTCACAGGAGCAAACCATTTCACTGCCTCCCATGGAAAAGTGTCTCTTGGCTCACCAGACCCCACCTTCTGCTGCAGTGACTGGATATTCCCACGCCATAACCCACTCCTCTTCTCACACTGATATGCTAATGAGATGTTTTTACGACTGAATTATCTTTTATTAACCTTCATAAATCTCTAACAAAAATAAATATAATTAAGATGAACATGGGGTTTTTTTTTAGTATTTAATTTATTTAACAGATTTTTGTTGTTGCTTTTGGTTTGTCTGTTTCTTTCCTTTTAAGACATGGTCTCACTGTGTAGCTTTGGCTAGACTGGAACTCACTATGCAGACCAGGCTGGCCTTGAACTCACAGAGATCCACCTCCTCTTCTTCCCAAATCCTGGGATTAAAAGTGAGTACATTGCCGGGCGGTGGTGGCGCACGCCTTTAATCCCAGCACTCGGGAGGCAGAGCCAGGCGGATCTCTGTGAGTTCGAGGCCAGCCTGGGCTACCAAGTGAGTCCCAGGAAAGGCGCAAAGCTACACAGAGGAACCCTGTCTCGAAGAAAAAAAAAAAAAAAAAAGTGAGTACCATTAAAGAAGAAGAGGAAATAAAATTTCTGAGTTGCTTACTATCATACTTATAACTAACTAAAATAAAAAATCTAAGTGTTTTGTGTTTGTTTTGGTTGTTACTTTGTTTTGGGTCCTGGGGCTGGAATCCAGAGCCTCACATCTACTAGGCAACCACTCTATAGCTATTTCCAGGCCTCCAATACAAGTGTTTTGTTTTGGAGATATGGTCTCTCTATATATCCCTGACTGACCTGGAACTCAGAGCTCCACTGGCCTTTGGCTCCCAAGTGCTAGTATTGAAGGTATACACTACCTTAGCCAGGCAGTGGTGGCACACGCCTTTAGTCCCGCACTTGGGAGGCAGAGGCAGGCGGATCTCTGTGAATTCGAGGTCAGCCTGGTCTACAGAGTGAGTTCCAGGACAGCCAGGGCTACACAGAGAAACCCTGTCTCAAAAAAAAAAAAAAAGTGTACACCACTATACCCAGCTAATTTTCGAAAAAAAAAAAGGTAAATTTTTTACTGAAAATACACTAGAACCAGACGGGACTTTGTTAATTTTGTCTCACTCTGTTGTTCTTTCTTTCTTTTGTAGCTGTTAACCTTAGGGAAAGGAGGCCAAGCTTGTTACCAGTTTCTCTCCTGTGTTTGGTCCTTTGGGCATACCAAATGTTACAGTGTCTCTCAGCAAAGACTAGTTAGGGGATATAGTTAGATTCTTCTTCAATTTAAAAGCCAAAAGCATGGAAATCACCCATTTTACCAGCTGGATGGTCTCAATAACCCCTCCCTGAGTTTCCCACTCTAGGGCAAATTTGTCTACAGAACCAATGCCAGGTAGAGGTGCCTGTGCTAGGTGAAAGATGATCATACAGCAGTGTATGGGGTATTTCCTGTAGATATCAATTCAGACCCATCCATTAGGAAAGTAGATCCATATATAAACCCTTAGAAGAGCCTTCCTGTGCCTCTGGACATGAGCAGCTCAATGTGAAGATCCTGTAACTTCTCTGGCCAGTCTCTGCTTACCAGTTGTTATAAGGACTTCCTCTCCAGTGTCTAGCTCACCAAAAGCCAAAGCTTTGGTAGCTTCTGACTGTTCTGTTGTGGTATGGGAGAGGTCCTTGGAGGAAGAGAGATTCTTTGTACTCTCAGTCCACAAAGAGAACTGGCATGTGATCAAACCTGCAACCAGGCAGTAAGCCTGCCTTTCCTGCACAGAGGATCTCTTCAATAGTGTCCCTGAAACTAGAGGGCCAATTAGTAGCATTATCTGCAATTGCCTCAAAACAAAACATAGTGACCAACTGGTCCTCTAGAGATATTACACCAAGAGAAGCCATCAGCCAGACCAGACCCATGATCACCAGGCTGCTGCACTTACCGTCAGCCATAGCAGACACCTCATCCTGAAGTGCTAGGATCAGCTTGGCCTCTCGAGTGAGATACTGGCAGCGGCGCTCCTCATGCTGCAGGACAGTGGCAATGCGCCGGGACAGGTTATGTAGACAGTTTATCACTGACGGGTCAGCGTTGGCCTACATGAGAGAGGTCAAATACTCAAAATATGTACACAGAGACAAAATTTAAAAGGAGCTAATACATGTGCACAGCAAAAGAGTAGACCAAGACGGGAGGTGGAGGCACACAGCTTTAATCCCAGCACTCGGGAGGCAGAGCCAGGTGGATCTCTGTGAGTTCAAGGCCGGCCTGGTCTATAGAGCGAGATCCAGGACAGGAACCAAAGCTACATAGAGAAACCCTGTCTCGAAAAACTAAAAAAAAAGTGTAGACCATAAAAAAAAAAAAAAGCCCTCTCAGGCTGGAGAAATGGTTCAGTGGTTAAGAGCACTGGTTGCTCTTTCGAGAGGACCCAGGTTCAATTCCGAGCACCCATGGCAGCTTACAACTGTCTGTAACTCCAGTTCCAGGGATCCGACACCCTTATACAGACATACATTTGTGCAAAACACCAATGCACATAAAATAAATAAATCATTTAAAAAAAAAAAAGGCCCTCTCCATTCCTTTCCATTAGGTTCCTCATAGGTAATTTTATCTTCCAGAATTCCCTGTTCATGTCTACAGCCTACCTACATAAATGCTGGCTGATATCCCCATCTTACAGTCTTGGGAACAACTGTCTATAAGGGTTGCAGAGATGACTCTATGGGAATCCTCTATGGGGAACACACATTCCCACTATGCTAGGACTGTACAGAAAAGCAAGGGACAGCTAAGGGCACAGATCCTACCCACCTGTCATGTGATCCTGGGTCACAGGTCCTCATCTGAGGAAGGACAACCAACTGAGCAGAGAAAACTAGTCAAACACATACAGTACTCAGAACAGAGGCTGCCATGAGCAAAACCATGGAGGTTTCTGTGATCATTGCTGTGATCTGACCATTCATGAACATGTCTGGCCTACAGTATATAGGAATTCATTCACAACAGGTCACACTGTTACAGAACGTGTAATACAGAAAGAAGTATTCTGCTGTTTGCTAAACATCTGTCAGGGATGAGTTCTTCTTAGCAAAGAAGACCCGAGTTAACCGGAGTACCAGCAGGCTCCAGGCCCACGTCCATCCCGTTCCACTCCCAGCATCCACTGTACACCCACAATGACTAGGTCAAAGTAGCATGCAGAGGGTTCTCAGGTTAGAAGTGTCCCTCACCCCTCTGGAATCTATCAGAGACCACAGTCAACCAGCAGGTGTACACACCCAGACCGAGGGTGGAGCAGGCCACCATGGGATCTATGGAGATGCTTGAAGGAGTAGATAACTGAGCCAAGCATGACTCAGTGTTTCTAGAGGCCATCAGGACTGCTGAGTAATACCTTGGGGTACAGGGTTAGAAGGGAGAGGGAGAAATGGCACTACTGATTAGGACCTCTGATGCTGTTTTCCCATCCTGTGTATTTTCCAGGGGACTCTGTGCCTATTACCTTAAATCAAAATCTTACCCAGACCACACTCTGTTCACCTGGAGCTAGAGAGAGTTTCTGTATTCTCAGTAAGTTCCATATTTACAATGAGAACTAGCACATGGGCAGACTTGGAAACAGGCCTAAGGCATCTCCTGCATGTTCTAAATGGGCTGATTTACAGAGTATATACAACTGCCTCAAAATAAAACACACATAGGAGTCTGAGTACAAACATTCCCACTCCAAAAGCAGGGAGAAAACAATCTTGGACACAGATTAATCCTTTGACGAAAAACTGAAGTCACAGCTGAGTCTTACCCTCTGGCAGAGGTGCCACTAGCTGAGGCACAAAAGCATCCCTACATCAGCTATTGGGGACTAACTGCTTGAGTTTCCTCTTTGTGCAAAGTGGTTCTTACCTCCTCCTACCCCTATAAGGTCAAAGACATGCACTGACGGGCTATCTGGTGTATACTGTTAGCACAGGCTAACACTGAGGAAGCAACTGCCTTAGCTCCCAAGGCTATGCAGGGATGTGAGAAAGCTGCCACCTAGAAGATGCCAGACTTTGATGGGAATGCTTATGAAGAGCACACTTGCAGCTAGGTGTGATAGCTTCTCCCTATAATGCCAGCATTTGGCAGGCAGAGGTAGAAGGATCAAGTCCAAGTCTACATATAAAGCTTGGGGGCTGGAGAGATGGCTCAGAGGTTAAGAGCACTGACTGTTCTTCCAGAGGTCTTGAGTTCAATTCCCAGCACCCACATGATGTCTCACAACCATCTGTAATGAGATCTGGCACCCTCTTCTGTATATATAATAAATAAATAAGTCTTTAAAAAAAAAAGCATTTGTACTTAGATACGTGTGTATTCACCAAACTTCTAAAAAATAAAGTTTGAGGCCAGTCTAGTCTCTGCGACATCATCTCCAGCAAACAAAGTAAACTTTCACAGTACAGAACAGGAAGCAGCACCAAAGTGACTATGTCATCACCCACGGGGCTTCCTGCAAAAACCTCGTATCCAAATATAACACCTTCAGAGTAATTTCCAGTCTGCAGGGCACAGAAAGTCAGGAAACAGGTATAACAGCCTGTCAATGAGACAAACTGGGATGTGGAAAATGTGGCCAGACAATGGGCAGGACAGCTAAGACTAGAGACAGAGATACCACACACACAGAGTGGGGGCTGCATCATGGCTCACACAGGCCAAATAGAAAACTATGCACTCAATCAGGAAGTTTTAAGGACCAGGTACTAGTTAATACCAACTTACCGTGGTTAATTCTTGTCAGATAGAAAAGGGTATTATGGCATAAAATACCAGCCATTACTTTATAGATAAGTCTTGAAGTAATGCAATAATGAATGGACATACAATAGGCATGGGGCACATGCCTATAATCCCAGCACTTGTGAGGTAGAGGCAGAAGCATCAGGAGTTCTAGGTCATCCTCAGATACATAGGAGTTCATGATCAGTCTGGGATATACAAGACCATGTCTAAAATAGAAACAAAAGCCAGGCATGGTGGTACACACCTTTAATTCCAGGACTCAAGAGGCAGAGGCAGGAGGATCTCTGAGTTCGAGGGCAGCCTGGTCTACAGAGGGAGTTCCAGGACAGCCAAGACCATGCAGAGAAACCTTGTCTCAAAAAAAGGGAGGTAGGGGGGCAAGGTGGAAAGATGGCTCAGTGGTTAAGAGCACTTGCTGCTCTTCCAGAGGTCCTGAGTTCTGTTCCTAACACACATCAGGTGGCTCACAACTGCTTGTAACTCCAGAACCAAGGGCTCTGACTCCTCTACTGGCCTTGGACAGACACCTATGTACTCACTCATGCACGTAAAATAAAAATAAATCTTAAAAAAAAAAGAATGGACATGAGGCCTAGGACTTACTTTGAGATACAGAGGCATAAAAACTGCTACTGGGCTCCTCATGGGTTTCTTGTTAAGAGGGATAAAATATGAATCTAGATAGCAGGGATGAACAACATGAATGATACATGGTGACATTACATTATAAATGTATTAGGTATAATTAAATTCTGTGTTTCATTTATTATTTGGTGTTTTAAGTCAGGATCTTACTATACAGTCCAAGACATGTGCAGTCATGCCTGACTTAAACTGTATTTTGTTGTTGCTGTTGTTGTTTTGGTTTTTTTTTTTTTTTTTTAGGGTAATAGGGCACTAAGACAGGGTTTCATTAGCCCAAGCTGGCCTCAAACTCACCATGACCTTGAACTTCGGCTTGTCCTACCTCAGCTCCCCAAGTGCTGGGATTATAGGAGTGTACCACCTGGTCTAGCTGAGTGTTCATCTGTTTTGAGATAGGATCTCATTCTGTGGCATAGGCTGGCCTCAAACACATGGCAATTCTCCTGCATCAGCTTCCCAAGCGCTGGGACCACAGGTGTGTACCACCATATACTTTTGTTGTTGTTGTTATTGTTAAATTTATCTAATTTTATTTTATGTGCATTGGTGTTTTGTTTGTGTCAGAGTGTTGGATCCCCTGGAACTGTAGTTACAAAGAGTTGTGAGCTGCCATGTGAGTGCTGGGAATTGAACTGGAGTCCTCCAGAAGAGCAGCCAGTGCTCTTAACCGCTGAGCCTTCTCTCCAGCCCCCATCACACACTTTAAAATGGAAAACATTCAGGACTAGGGATGTAGCTTAGTAACAAAGTGCTTGCCCAACATGCATGAGGCCCTGGGTTCCACCATGACCGTAAATAGTGTTATATGTATGTATTTTACAAAAAAAGTTCAAGGAGGAAGAGGGGAAGGAGGAAAAACAATGAGCTTTGCTCCACCTGCACACCAAAAGTGTAAGTGCCATACCCAGAGTCTGAGCTCTGGGCCAATGAAAACCTCACTGGAAACTGGCTCTTCTTCCTCAGGCCCTCCTTGATCTAAGCAATTGCGCAAACACTCACCCTCAGTGCAAACACCACATTAAAAAGAATCATGGTGGGTGCTTCCCGCTTTGGAGATGGGTCTGTTTTGGAGACCTGTAAAAGAGCATAATTCTAATAAATCAAAAGACACGACATCCTTTCTGTCTGTCTGTCTGTCTATCTGTCTGTCTGTGACAGACTAACACTATGAACTTTGGGGTGACCTAGAATTTACTATGGATCCAAGCTGGTCTTGAACTCACAGTGATCCTATCTCAGGCTCCCAATACTGGAATTGGAGGGGTGAGACACGACGGCCAGCAGTCAGCCGTGACATTCTACAGGAAGTCGTTCAGATCTGTCTACTTCATGCATGGAGAAGGGCTCCAGAGTGTGGTAAAATGGGAGAAAACACCCCAGTCTGTGAGAGGCGATCAGTGCTTTTGCTCAGAGAAGAGTCAGCCATAGAAACAGATGGACTACATGTGTAGAAGGAGTAGAATGGCTGGCACTCTGAGCTCCGTGACTAAAGGATCAAGCTGACAATGCCCCAAAGTGACAGGACAGAAAAGGATGCAAGGGGACGGAGAGTCCAGCCATGCCTCTGCTGCCGTGGCAAGTCCTCAGGACATCAGAGACACGACGGTGCTCAGCAGCCCTGATGAAAAGGAGCAGCCAGTCTTGCTAGAGAACCAAGTCCCTATCTCTTCCAATTCTGGTGTCCAGGCAGCTTCAGTCACAAACACCGCAGCATTTAAAGGTACCACTCTGAGTGGCATGAGTTCTTTGAGCCTAATTCCAAATGTTGCCTAAAGAGGGAGTTATAACTCTCCCTCTAACACCCAGGAAATGTACCCATCCCTGCCTGTCACTGCAATTCTACACTAAGTGACTGTCAACCGTGCCCCCCCCCCCCAATCCATAGACAGGAACCCAAGCCCTGTCATTAAAGACCATTGTAAAGAGGGAGGATATTATCAAAGGAGCAAGATACTTCCAATGACCTCAGAAGCTCCTCACATGGATGCTCTTTATACCACTTCTATATGGTATGGCATACTGAAACCCTTCTGAATCTAGGTGATGCTGTTATGGATCCTGCCTGTACGCAGAGTGGACTGCTCTAGTGGACAAGCTCCTTTGGTAATAGCACATTCCCCCTTGCTAACATTCCTCAGTACCCAAATACCCACCTATCAGAAAACAAATATAAAAAGGTTAGCACAATAACACATGCTAAAACGTGTTGGTTATTAAAGTATCATTTAACAGGTAGTGTTTGCACCATTTTTTAGAAAGCTCAGGAGTTAGACAATTGTTAGCTAATTCATTTTATGTCCTCTCTGGAAGCAAATACCCTATATATAAGAGGAAAGGCCAGTTAGAAGAGACACAGACTCGAGTCAGCAGAGAACTGGGGATGCAGCTCAGTGAGCCAACAACCACTCAGCACGTAGAAAGCCTTGGGTTCGATCCATCACTGAATGAAAACACAAGCCAGTGGCAGGGACTACGGCACCCGGGGGCAGTACCCCTGTCATCCTCTACTGGATCCCCAGGACCTATGAAGGGACACAATTCAAGCGGCTATCAGGCCTGCTGCCCCAATGGCCCATTCACCACCATCCATGTCAGCACAGAAGAGGCCAGGCCCACCCACCCTAGAAGACTCCTACCTGCCGAGGAGGGTCATACCTGCCCCAGAGCATGCTGCAGCAGTGTTGGGTGCCCAACAAACCGTACATTATCAATCTTCAGTTCAAATTTTTGGCCGCACATTTCAGACTTGGTTGCCAAAATTGTTGCCAGAATAACATCCGAGAACCTTCAAATTTTAGAAAGGTAGGACGGAAATGCATTAACGAACATCACAGCACCGTGCCCAGTACCCACAGGGGGAGTGGCTCAAGAATGACAGTTCTGTGGAGCTACTTTGTCCCCAGTGGGTGGCATGTCTATCAGTGGCTCTCTTGCAGCAATCCCAAGGGTAGGGATGTGAAATCACCAGAATTACAGGTAGAAGGCAGGAGAAGCACAGGCTGAAGGCACATGCTGTCACTGATTGCATGCTGTATGAAATTAGAAAAGAAACAGCTGCAGTTTGCATTTAAAGGAAGATCAGCTGGGGCTGGCACTGCCCTCAGGAGCCACTCAGAGGCTCACAGGCACAAGGGCCTCTCCTTACTGTACTTTGGTTTGTGGAACTGTACCTCTCAACCTCTGTGACCCCAGACCCTCCACAACAGGACCACAAAAAGGACCAGAGGGCAGAGCTCAATGATGCATGCAGTATGCTAACTACATCTTTTCAGCATAGCTGCCCAGCCCTTCCTTATCCTCAACACTTCAACTTCTCAGTTCTTATTGAGGGAATTTTGTACAAGGCATGCAGGTGCACTGTTACAGGAACATGGGATGCATAGAAACCAAGTGTCATGGGGAAGTGGGAATGGCTGGGGTGTGAGATCTCACCCCTTCCACTAAGCATCTGTACATCTGTTCCCCCTATTGGCAAACCTAGTCCTCCCTGTCTGGGGGATCTGGATAAGTGAGTTGCCTGCAGGGAGGAGAACACAGGGGCCTGGTGTTGCCTCTTATCTCAGAAAGCAGGGACTGAGGGCCTCCACTGAAGACACACAGGCACTGTTTCTGATCTGGTCCTGAAGGGAGAGAGCACCTATGCTCACCATCTACTAAGGAAAGCTTTCTAACATCTAGGGAGGGTGGTTTTAGGAAGACAGCTCCAGCACTACCAGGACCACAGTCTGTCCTGGGCAGAGAGACCCTTACAGTCCTGAAAGAGACTATTTGGGACAGACATTCCATTGTGGGACCTTAGTCTTGTTTCTTCTGGAGGCATTCTCAGTTGGGAGAAGGGAGACAGACTGACATCGTAACTCCTCCATTGCAAAATGGAAAAGGAAGGTGAGCTTTCAAGGAGCTGATGTGGCTCAACTCCAAAGCAGCAATGGACTGGGATAGAAAGTATCTAGGAGGGGCATTCATTCCAGGCCACCCTACACAAAGCAGGGCCACAGGAAAGCGGCCTGGAGACAGTACAGAGCCGAAGCCTGGCTACGTCAACATGTAAGACAAGCAGCCGTGCAAATTCTCCCACTTCTACCCATGCCAGCAAGAAAGCTCCAGGCTGCTACGGCCTGCAGGGCTTATACTGGCTCCTGCAGAATGAGCAAGATCCTCCAGCAGCCACAGGGCTTCCGGGCCCCCAAATAAACCAGACAGAGAGTGGGTCACAAAGGGCTTCCTGGCCCTTTACAATGAGGGCTTGGTCAAACCTTTCAGCAGCTGTCTTATCACTGACATTCTGGGACCTGCAGGACCCATAGCCAAGTCCTTACTTCCTGCTTTCCTGGAACATTAATGTCTGGGGTGATTAAACAGATATGGAAGACTCCAGCATCTCAGACAAGGGCATTACAGGTTTTCTTCAAAGTCAACCTCTCTCTGCCCTATTCCACCTGTCTGAAGGACATATCAGGATATCAAAACCCTATCAAACACTTGGGTTCTGAGCTAGCCAACATTCTATATCACATCTAAACAAGCAGCACCCAACATTCTACCAACCAATGACTTAATACACAAAAGCAGCAGATGGGAGAATGATCTTAACCACTCCACAGCAACTCTTCCTTGATAGCCAAAAGTCTCCACTAAAAACCCTCACTGTCATGAAGAGTCACAGACATGCCTCAGCTCTGGTCATGGGATTCCCAGAGGCAAGCAGTGGTATCTCAGCTTCCATTCATAAATACCAAAATCCAAATATGCCCTTGAAGGAGCAAAATCAAATCTCCCCCCCTCTACAAGGCACAGAGATGTGTGTGCTGACGCTAAAGTGGCTGTCCTAGGTTCTGTTAATCTGAGCAGGTCTGAGCTGCATGCCACCTCTTAACATTACATACTTAGGATGAAAAGACACTTGCTTGGTTGTGGACTTCACATAGTGTTTGATGACGTAATATGCACAAAGATAAAGTCATCTTGAGACCAAGAAAAGGGTAAAACTTATACATAGCAAATTACAAAGGACAAGGTTTATTCTTTCCAAAATTTACAAAAATCCTTTTGATGGTGAGAACATGGTAAATGTAACATAAGATAATAAAACAGCTACTATAAAAACTAAAAATTTCTAACTTGAACATCTAAGAAAAGCATATTTAGGAAGATGTAACAGTTGAAAAGCAGGCCAGGATTCTATTTTTAATAAATCATTCTGGAGTAGGGCTATCCAAAAACAGGGAGAGAGACTGGAAAGGTCTCAACTCCACATCTTCAACTTGTCCCTTTTTTTTAAATGTGAATGAATGTTTTCACCTGCATGTATGTATGTGAACCAGGTGTGTACCTGAGGCCTATGGAGGCCAGAAGAGGGCACTGGATCCCCTGAAACAAAAGGTACACATAGTTGGGAGCTGCCATATGGGTGCTGGGAATTGAACCCAGGTCCTCTCAAGAGCAAGTGTTCTTAACCACCGAGCCCTCTCTCCAGCCTCTCAACCTGCCTATTGATGGAAACTCACACATACTGTATGTACATCCACGGCTCACACAGGATGTACTGTTAGGGGACAAGACAGTGCAGACTGCAAAAGCTCCATATCACCTTCATGGGGACATTTTTGCCACTTCTTGGTATATTCAGTTCCATCTAATCCTGAGTCTCTAACTAAACACTCAAATACTCAAATGCTGTTAATAGTGTCCGTGTGTCTATCTGTCTGTCTCTATCTATCTATCCCTCTCCCTCTCAAAACTAAAGGCAAGGAGCAATGATCACGGGCCCTTGCTGTGGCAGTAGGACAGGAAATGAGAAACCCATATGTGGTGGTCCAACATCACAGGACTACTAGCTCCTATTTGGGGAGGAGGTCTGTACAGCACACCTGGTCCAGAAGTCTCTCTGGTGCCAGCCAACCATGCTTTAGGTTCTCGAGAGATGTGAAATAGCTAAATAATTCTAGATGGGAAGGGCAGAGGCTGTGGGAAAATCTGGGCTTCTGAAAGGCAGGGGGCGTTCCAAGCTGGGGCCTATGCACCTCGTTAGTCATTCTTCAACATTGAGAGAAATTAGGCAGGAAGCACAATTACAAGAAGAGAAGGCAGCCGGAATCAAGACAGAAAAGTGGGGAGAGATCTTGGTCTTACCCTGCAACCAATTGCTCATCGGTTGGAGGACATGGCTTGCTGAAATGGGAACAGGACCATCAAGACCAAACAAATCATTGTTTCTTAAAAACCATGAAAAGTTACAAGGTTGTTTTATAAAATCAGCATTAACGTCTAGCAGAAGCACCATTATAAAGTATTAGCTGAATGGAGCAACTTACCGGAGGAGAAAGAAGACATACATACCCCAGATGAACACTTACCAAGGGATTGTTCTCACTAAAGCTCACATTCTCAAAATACAGGCCAGGAGAGACTGAGAAACACTGTTCAGAATCCAGGACATTGCAAGGCTAGACCCTAGTGTCACAAGACTTAGCTGGACAGCTGAGGACAAGTATCTGACCTTCCTAACAGACCACATAAGATGCCTGGACAGAAAAGCCTTCTGAACTGTAGTGTCATATGAGTATCATTCAGCCCAGTTCTTGGAACACTGTGGACCACCTGCATCCTGACCTCCCTGAGCCTCTACCCCAGCTGGAAAGGAGGTCACAGCAGGACACGCACACTTTTGCCAGAAAACTGGGGTTTCTGTACCATCCGACTCAGGTGTTTAGTTCAGTATTTTATGTTCCTGTGAAGAGCATTTTGTTCCAGAACATGCTGCTTTCCAAGCAACCCTGGAAAGCTACATAAGGGCCCTACCTGGACTACCTGCTGTGGACCCCTGTCCAGAAACAGGATGGCCAAAGACTCATGTAAAAGGAAAGTATATGAGAGGAGCCCTTCCTTAGCTGCTTCAAACTGAAGCTCCTCACATTCGCTAGCACTGAGGGGGAGCTGTTTAATAGACTTCACCCAGCAGTCTAGCAGCTCAGGCCTCACTCAGCTTGAGCTCCTACAACTAGCCAAGTCACCATGGCCTATCTGACACAACTTTCTACAGTGATGGCTACATTCTAAGTGTGCCACTGAGCAACCTGAAAGGGGGAGGGGGCAACACGGGGCACAGGACACTAAGGAGCTGGATTCTTCTTTAATTTCAGAAACGTTTATTTATTGACTGGTTGGTTTTGAGACAGGGTCTTCCATATCTCAAGTTAACCTCAAATTCACTATAAAGCCCAGGATGACCTTGACCTTCTGATCCAATTGCCTCCACCTCTTAAATTCTGGGACTGCAAGAATTCACCACCAGGCCCAGTTTATGAAGTGCTGGGAATCCAAGTATTTCTGCGTAAAGAGCCACACTGGCCATGATCCTGACTGAAGAGCACAGTTCTGGTCCTTGATTACAAAGGGCACACAAGCCCACTCGGCTGTTTCCACCCGGAAAGCTGACAAGCAGGAATCTCTTGCAGTTCCGGAAAGGAAAGCACCTTTGGGAACAGCCCAGGAAGACAGAACGGGCTTTGCAGCACTGCACTGCTTCTTCGGAAAGAAGCTGGGGAGTTGGGAGGGGCCTGGGGCCCCAAAGGGAATTAGTCTGCACCTTGTAATCATGGGGGACAGGGGTCAGCAGACGCTATCAAGTTAAAATTACCAAATGAAGCAGTTCTCCAGTTCAGCTGAAGAACTCAGACAAAAGCACTCTCTTCCCACTGTTTTCTCTTTTTATTATGCTAACTACTGAAATGAGCCCCTAGAAGACATCTGTGTACTCTCTAAAATTCACTGGCAGGAATTAGATGCTGGTTTCATCCCTAGGAAATTTCCCTATGAAAGAAAGACTGTTCAAAGCCAGGCATAGCTACATGCTGTCCTTTGATGCCAGCACTCTGGAGGCAGAATCAGAGGCAGGTGGATCTCTGTGAGTTTGAGGCCAGCCTGGTCTACAGAGAGTTCCAAGACAGCCAGAGTTACAGAGAAGCCCTGTCTTGAAAAAGTCAAGAGAGAGAGAGAGAGAGAGAGAGAGAGAGAGAGAGAGAGAGAGAAAGAAAGAAAGAAAGAAAGAAAGAAAGAAAGAAAGAAAGAAAGAAAGAAAGAAAGAAAGAAAAAGAGAAGAAAATGGAAACAAAGAAGGCTGTTGAAGTCTCCTCTCCAGGGAATCGGGAGGCAGAGCCAGGTGGATCTCTGTGAGTGCGAGGCCAACCTGGTCTACAGAGCGAGATCCAGGACAGGCACCAAAACTACACAGAGAAACCCTGTCTCGAACAACAAAAAGCAAAAAACAAACAAACAAACAAAAAACTAAAAGTGAAATAAAACAAAAACAAAGAAAAACCCCACATACTTTTGGTACTGTAAATCCCAGGGGTGGATATGGTGCCTTCTCAAAGAACTGCCAGGAAACAGTACTGACTCACTACAAAGCAAAGAGCCAGTGTGGGAGTCTCAGCTCCCTTTTCCTTTACCCCACACAGGCCCCGTCTATGTTTCAGGGGATCCAGGGCAAGTAGAGCACAATCTTCTCTTTGTTTCCTAGACTCATGCTGTCTCTTACTAACCTTTAAAACGCACATAAGAAGGCAGAAGCAGGGGCTGGAGAGATGGCTCAGCCCTGGCTGCTGTTCCCAAGGACCAGGGCTCAGTTCCCAGCACCCACATGGTGGCTCACAACTGTCTGTAACTCTAGTTCCAGGGGATTCAACACTCTCACACAGACACGCGTGCAGGCAAAACATCAATAAAGTAAACTTTAAAAAAGAAGGCAGAAGTAGTTGTTTATGAATGTAGACCTGACAGTCCTCCTAGACACAGAGGAGCAAATACAGGCAGAAGAAGGACTTGCCTTTCATCCAGGCCTGAAGCAGTCCTAGCTGCCACTGTCACCTGAGAAAGGATGTGCCCAGGCTGCACTGTACCTGAGCACTGCATGACTAGGCATGTGCTAAGGAATCAGGTCTGAGGACAGCCAAGGGATCTGCAAGCCTCTCATTGGAGAGAAATGTATCACGACTCCTTTACTAACCAGATAGCATGTGCACTAGCATGAGCAAGTCAGGGGTAGCAGTGCGACCCCAGCTCTGCACTCACAAAATGGAGGAGAAGGACACCAGTTATCTCAGAGGGACAAATATCTGGGTCAACAGGAGGGTAGAGCTCTGATCAGGCCAGGAAAGGGAACCAGGCCTCCTGCCCAGAATGGCTGGTGAGCCCTTACCTGGAGTCACCATCCTGGTCATCAACATGTTCGCCCGTGTTGTTGACAGCGTATCTGCTGCGTGGTGTATCTGAGTGAGGGCAAAAGAAGAATGGCTAAGAAAGCAGGATCCCTCCACACACAAGATTGTGGGCTATTAAAACCCGTGGCTTCCACTGCCGGCACAATTATTATTCAGCTACAAAGAGGAACAAAATCATACAGCTTGAAAATGTTAGGTTGAATTAAATAACTCTGATATACAATGTCAAATATTATTTATATGAAAACACTATAGTAAGCAAATTCATAGGGCTACAAAGTCATCTGGATAATAGCAAGGGCTGGGAAGAATAGGAAATGAAATATTACTTATCATTACAGAACTTCACTTTAGATGATGAAAGTTTTGGAAATACATATTGGTGACAGTTTCACAATGGAAAGAATGCAGTTAATGCTACTGAGTCATATACTTAAACTGGTTAAAATGGCAAATCTCATGTTATAATAAAAATGTTCAGGGGTTAAGGATGCACATGGCTCAGTGGTGGTGCTTAGCATGTGAAACCAGGTTCTATTTGGAGCACAGAGGAAAATAAGATGGTTTCCAAGAAGTTATGACAATGTGGGGAAACAGCTACTCTTTGAGGAGGGGATTGAGATAGGACCTTACCATGCAGCCAGGCCAGCCTCACTCTCTATAGAGCTGAGGCTGGACTCCTCATCTATCTCCTAAATGTTGGAGATTACAGTGTTGGGATTACAGATGTGGGCCACCATGCCCAGCTATGGATCTTAATTTTCTTTTTCTTTTCTTTTTTGTTTTTTTTTTAATTTTTAAATGTATATACCATATGCCTTATACATATAAACAATTCTTTACTAGAACACTATGGCTTAAAAACCTGGTTTAAAACCCATATGAGCCGGGCAGTGGTGGCGCACGCCTTTAATCCCAGCGCTCGGGAGGCAGAGGCAGGTGGATCTCTGTGAGTTCGAGGCCAACCTGGTCTACAAAGAGAGTTCCAGGACAGACTCCAAAGCTACACAGAGAAACCCTGTCTCGAAAGAAAAACCAAAAATTTTAAAAAAATTAAAAAGAAAATAAAAACTATGGGAGATCCAGGACAGGCACCAAAACTACAAGAGAAACCCTGTCTTGGAAAAAAAATGATATAACCATATGGAAAAATAATAAATTATGTTGGCTTTTGAGGGCCAACATCCAAGGAAATCCAACAACAACAACAACAAATATGGCCACATCCTGGCAGTCACAGCTCCCCTTCCACAAGGCTCTGGAGGCAAGCAGGCAGCAAGTACCCAGACCACACTAGCTCTTAGGGGCCTCAACCTTATACCAAGATAAATTAATTTTAAGGCCAAGCGTGGTGGTTCACGCCTTTATTCCCAGCACTCAGGAAGCAGGAGGATCCCTGTGAGTTCAAGATTAGTGTAGTCTAACTCCAGGCAGCCAGGAATACATAGTAGGATCCTGTCTTAAGTAAGTAAATTAATTAATTTGAAAACAAGACAATAAATGTTCTAAAGGAAAACTCCTGAGTTCTCTCTTGTTAATAATCTTGAAATGCTCACTTGCGATCCAGAACCAGAGAGGAAGAGTGTCCTAGTTTAAGACTAGACTAGTCTACACAGCAAATTCCAAGCCAACCTTGACTCAAAATAAACTGACAGCATCCAGAGCAGAAGGCCTTAGAGACAGCAAAACTCAGAAACCACAAGAGACTAGATTGAAAACCTGACTCCATAAAAATCAAAATTCTGGCAAAAACTACACAGAAAAAGCAAACTGGCTACCTGCTGTGATTAAAAAAAAAATTCCTTTTTGTTTTTTTGAGACAGGATCTTACCATGCAGCTCTAACCAATCTGGACCTCACTATGTAGAGCAGGCAGGCCTGGGACTCAGAGATATGTGCCCATCTCTGCATCTAGAGTGCCGGGATTAAAGGCATGCTGACCACCACGCCTGGTCCAAAAGTCTTACTTTTTTTGTTTTGTTTTTCAAAACAGGGTTTCTCTGTGTAGCCCTGAATGTCCTGGAACTCGCTCTGTAGACCAGGCTGGCCTCGAACTCACAGAGATCCGCCTGCCTTTGCCTCCCAAGTGCTGGGATTAAAGGCAGTCACTACCACCACCCAGCAAAATTCTAGCTTTTTAGCTCAAATATATGAATAATTCTTTCAAGTCTAGAAAGAAAAAATTAAGTATTCAAGAGGAAATCAGGCACAGGATATGAATTCTCTGAAAAGTAAATGCAAATGGCTCTGAAGATAGGAAAACATGCTTGTTCTCAGTAAGACAAATAAGACAAATGCACAATAAGACTATCAGATACACCCAGGCAGTGGTAGCACATGCATTTAATCTCAGCACTCAGAGGCAGAGGCAGGAGGATCTCTGTGAGTTCAAGCCCATCTGGTTTACAGATTGAGTTCCAGGATAGCCAGGGCTACACAGAGAAACCCTGTCTCAAAAAAACAAAATAAAACAAAACACTGTCAGATGCAGCCTTTTGTCATTCGACTAATAAAGACTGAAAATTAATCTGTTTATCACATGACCATTAGCCCTCAGACTCAACCACATGACTCAAGATATGTTAGTACAGATAGTCTACAAAAGAGTAATATCCAGAAAGGACATGTGCAGTTTGTGGGTTTGTTTTTGTTTTTTTTTTTTTAGTTTGTGGGTTTTTTATTGATGGTGGTGGTAGTGTTGGGGAATGTGTATGTGACCTATAAGCACAGGTGGAGGCCAGAGCAAAATGTGAAGGGTTTTCCTTTATCGACATCTTACTGCCTTGAGGCAGGGTTTCTCCCTGAACCAGAACATTACCCTTCATGCTAGGCTGACTGGTCAGCCAGGGAGCTCTCCAAATCAGCCCATCTCTATCACTCAATGATGACAGGCACCACAGCCATGCCAGGCTTTTCACATAGGTGCTGGGGGTTCAAAGTGAGGTCCTCAAGCTTGCACAGCAAGCGCTCTTACCCACTGAACCACCTGCCCAGCCCCCAAAAGATTGAAAAAACTGTAACAAAGGACTAGATGAACAATGCATACTTCGCTCATGGAATTCCCTGCAGCCATTAAAAAGAACAAGACTTCTACAAAGGTTGATCCTGTATTCAAGACAGACACCAAGTACAAATAAAAACGGGCAAACAGTGTATTTCCACTGCTACTTAGAACAGAATGTGTGCTTATGCTTGTGTTTACATGGACGGTTCTGGAGAACGGTAGAGGTGGTATCCCCTTTAGGGAAGATGGGAGGGGGTACTGAGAGCATGATATCAACTGTTTTTGTAGCTTTAAACCCTTTGGATCATATTACCAAGTTTTAAGAATAATAGTCACCCACAGAGGAAGGCTATATTCTCATGCACTATAACTAAGAGGATGTGTTCAACAGATGAAGAGGCTTCCAGGCAGATGATACAGCACAAAAAACGAGCGTCCTGCGACTCGTTGGGAGGTGGGCGCGACGCACTACTTTATTTTTTCGTGGATACGCTTTTGAATACCGGAGGGATGATTATCAAAACGGTGAGCGGTTATCCCCGCAATGGGCAAGGAGCAGAGTTCAAGGGCAACTTCAGACTTTACAGTAATCTGTACTTTCTAAACTAATAAATTCGTGTCTGTGTGTAAAACCCGGTGTCTTTTTGTTTTTGTTTGGAGAAAAGGTTGGCCTTGAACTCACGGCAACGCTCCCGCCTCAGCCTCCTGAGAGCTGGGATTATACGTGCGCATCGCTGCTAGATAGAGCCTGCGATTCTTACGTATTTTGACACTGTTTCCTAGGCTGGAGACTCCGGAGTCGCGCCGTGGCCCTCTTCCTCCTCCTCCTCCTCCTCCTCCTCCGCACCGGGCCCTGCGCGCGGGCAGGGCGGGTGGCCGCCAGGCGCCACTTACTTGTCTGGGACGCGGGGTGCTCCTGGCTCCTCTGGAAGGGGTACCTGAAGAGCAGCTTATTGCCCCTGCTGCCCGAGCTCACCAGGATCACGCTGATGGGGCTGGTATTGTCCCCCATCCTGCGGGGGCCGGGGCGGGGGCCTGAGGGGAACTCGGTGGGGAGCGCGGAGGCGGAGGGTAGGAGCCGGAGCCAGGCGCCGGGCCCGCAGGGACACGGAGGAAGCCGGCGCCACGGCCCGGACACAAACGCGCGCGGCCTCGCTCTCGCGAGACTTCACCGGTGCCGGGGGAAAGAGCCGCGGAGCGCCACCCTGCGGGGCCTCTGCGCAGGCGCGGGCGGCCGGACGCGCAGGCGCGACGCGTTCTCGGAGCTGCAGTGGCTCTTCAAGGGAAGGTGTCTGTGGTTTAAAGTCACACGAGAGTACAAATTTAAAAATAGGAGAAGGAATCGGGCGGCGGTGGCGCACGCCTTTAACCCCAGCACTCGAGGGGCAGAGGCAGGTTGATTTAGTTCGAGGCCAGCCTGGGCTACAGAATGAGCTCCATGACAGCCAGGGCTACACCGAGAAACCATGTCTTCCGGGAGTGGGGGGGGGGCGGGGGCGGGGGAAGAGGTCGGGTTCATACCAGTCTGGGCATCACATAACCAAGGAGCACTAATTTATTTTAATTATTTCCCAAATTTTATAAAGACAAAAAATAGTCTTACTGCTTTTTTTTTTCAACTGTTACTCAGAGATAAGGTGTCATTTGATTACTTGCCAGTGTCTGAGAATTACACTTACTTTTGCCCTTTGATGGTTTGGATGTGTTCTGTGAAAGGAATGATATCCTCTTACTCATTTTGCAAGCCTTTATCCCAATCTTGTTTTTTTTTTTTTTTTTTTTTTTGGTTTTTTGTTTTTGTTTTTGTTTTTGTTTTTTTTTTTTGGTTTTTCGAGACAGGGTTTCTCTGTGTAGCTTTGGTGCCTTTCCTGGATCTCGCTCTGTAGACCAGGCTGGCCTCGAACTCACAGAGATCCTCCTGCCTCTGCCTCCCGAGTGCTGGGATTAAAGGCGTGCGCCACCATCGCCCGGCTTCTTGTTTGTTTTGAGTGTTGTATAATGTTACTGAGGTCTCCCGTGTTTCCCAGCTGGACCCCTAGACCTAAACCGGAAATCAGAAGACAGGGGAAGTGAGGCTGGGAAGGAAGCAGATGGGGATATGGGACTGGGCGCCTGGGGATGACTGAAAGGTATCATGGGACCTTCCCACAGAGACTAGGTGCCCAGGCACTCAGGCCAGGAAGGTCTGTGGTCCAGGTTACTTCATTAGCCAGGGCCTTGGGACTCCAGTGGTCATCTCTGGGATCGGAAGAGCCTATAAGTAAAGGAGCCCAGTGTTTCCCCAGTTAGCGATCTTAGGACCCACTTTTTGCCAGCCACCTTCAGAGGAGCATTCACAGTTTACTTTTCTATGCGATCAACAGTGACAGCCAGGCTTGGTGGAGACTTGTGTTTCCAGCTACTAGAGAGACTAAGGTAGGGGAAAAGAAAGTTAAAGCCAACCTGGGCAACTCCGTGAGACCTCTCAAGAAGGAATGAGAAGGCTGCAGATGTTGCTTAGTGGTGAGCACATGGCTGTTATGCCCAAAGTCCTGGGCTCCATCTTTTCTACCACTGCTAACTCTAGTACCAGATTCCATTCTACAACGTTCTGGCGTCCAGGCCGCCTTACCCAATACTGACAGCACTGGAGAGGAGAGCCTGGACTCCTCAGGTGCATCATCTCAACCCCCAAGTTGTCTACATCATTGCTAAGAAACGCCATCAGCTATCACAGAAATCAGAACTTAAGGTCACACTGTCAACTGTGGACCAATAAAGGCCACTGTGGACCCCAGTTTTTTCACCAAGAGTAGGATTTGAAACTGTTCAGTGAAACACGAGGGCTAGCCTCAGCTCTGCAGGGCATATCCTCTGACTGACTGCTGGATTAAAGAAGTGAGTCCTCATTTTTTATTTTTTATGTGCATTGATGTTTAGCCTGCATGTCTGTGTGAGGAAGTTGGTTCCACTGGAACTGGAGTTACAGACAATTGTGAGCTGCCATATGGGTGCTGGGAATTGAACCTAGGTCCTCTGGAAGAACAGCCAATGCTTCTAACCAGTGAGTCATCCCTCCAGCCCCCACGAGTCCTCATTTCAATTTTAAATAATGTGGTGTCATAAACTCCTTTATAGAAGAAGAAACTGGAACTTTGGACCCTTGGTCCCCACCCTACCCCCAGGGTCTCCCTTGTGCAGAGTGGGAGACCACATGGATGTCAGACCTTATCAATCCTGTCACTTGGTCAGTCAAAGGGCTGGGTGGGGTTCACAGACACTATCTGGGAGCCACCTTCTCCACTGGGTGTTCCTGCCTCTTCAAGGGCCTCTAGCCACTTGCCTAGAACAGCAAAAGGATAATTTTAAATGCCATGTCCTGAATTCTTGTGGCTAGAGGTGACCTCTCATCACATTGATGTGGAAGTTAAGTCCACTTCACCATAGAGGTTTAAATGGTGAAACTGAACTCACAAGGTTAACTTGCCTCCCATGGTCACCTTTGGGGGCAGGGGTGTGTTCTACAGATCCTCACCCTGGTCTTCTGCTCGATTAACCAGGCAGACATCTCGGCCCAGCTACTCAAACTCAGAATGTGCCTGGAGCTTGCAATTCTGACTACAGATCAGCAGCTTCAGCATCCAGGACTCTGCACAGGTCTGGGCTCTTTGTGTCCACAGGGGGAGAGACAAAGATCGGCCTCTGTGCAGTCAGCAGCCCAGCCCACACCATGCAGCTAGATCCTGCTTCCGTTGGAACTATAGGCACATTTATAACCTCCCTGAGCTTCTATTTCCTTACGTTAAAACAAATCCCAGTGACGAGAGAACTGCCCTTACAGAGTGGCAATGAGGGCTGTGGACTCAACACAGATAGTTTGGTGCCATGTGAGGAACTTAGAAAGCACTTGACAAATGTCAATGGTCGTACGTCACACAAAAGCAATCCAGTACAAACTGTTGCAAATACACACGACGACATTGCAAAGCTTTTAAAAGTATACTTAGAATCTCTCTTAATCCTGACATTTGGATATGCTTTTATTCTTGTTTGTTTGTTTTGTTTTGGAACAGGGTCTCTCTACATAGTTCTAGCTATCCTGAAATTCACAATGTAGATCAAGCTGGCCACATGAACTCAGAGATGTGCCTCCTGAGTGCTGGGATTAAAGGTGTGTGCCACCATATCCAGCTACTCTTTTTTTTTTTCTTTTTTCTATTATCAGCTTGATACAGTACAAATTCTTATCCTAATAGTGAAATGTTTCACTGAGGTTTGCCCAGTGATTGAGTAAAACCAAAACTTATTATAAGTCACAGTCATCCTAGGATCCCCCCTGCTATGTAGCCTCCCTGGTTCTGTGGGTTGCAGTCTGATTGTTCTTTGCTTTATACCTAGTATCCACTTATGAGTGAGTACATACCATGTTTGTCCTTCTGGGTTTGGGTTACCTCACTCAGGATGATTTTTTCTAGTTCCATCCATTTGTCTGCAAATTTCATGCTTTCATTGTTTTTCTCTGCTGAGTAGTACTCTATTGTGTATATGTACCACATTTTCTTAATCCATTCTTCAGTTGATGAACATCTAGGTTGTTTCCAGGTTCTGGCTATTACAAATAGTGCTGCTTTGAACATAGCTGAGCATGTTTCTTTGTGGTATGATTGAGCATTCCTTGGGTATATGCCCAAGAGTGGTATGGCTGGGTCTTGAGGTAGATCGATTCCCAACCAGCTACTCTTTATTTAACTTTATTTTATATATTTTATATTCTGATTTGATTTGAGACTGGAGAATCCGAAGTTCAAGACCATCTTTGGCTTCATTATAGAGTTTGAGTCCAGTTCTAGACACACAAAACCCTACCTGCCCAAAAAATGTTTAAAAAGTGAACAAGTGAAAAATAACATGGGCAGCAAGGCATGGTAGCACATATCAGCAACCCCGGCATTCCAGAGGTCAAAGCAGGAAGTGATGATTTTCACTTCCTTGGCTTCGTAGTGAGTTCTGAGCTAGTCTGGACTACATAGTGAGGATCTGTCTCAAAAAATACACAATGTTGTCAAGCATGGTGGTACATGCCTGTAACACTCAGGAGGTAAAGACAATAGGGTTGCTGCAAGTTCAATACCACGGTGGGCTGCATAGCAAGTCCCCAGGGAGTTAGGTTGACATAGCAAGACCTTAACTCAGAAAAAAACACAAAAAACAAACCACAGAAACGGGGCCGGTGAGATGGTTTAGTGGGTCAAGGACTTGTCACCAAGTCTGACAACCTGAGTTCCTTCCCAGAGAGCAACACGGTGGAAGGAGCCGATTCCCACGTACTCTGGTCTCCACACATTCACCATGGCGTGCCACAATGCCCCTCCCCCAAAAAACAGTAAATAAGATAAAATTTATTTTTTAAATACAAAAATAATAACATAACATTTTAAAGGTAAACAGTCAGTAGCATTTTGTACATTCATGATACTGTACAACCACCTCTCTCTAGTTCTAGAATGTCATCATCTCCCCGAAAAGAGATCTTCCTATAAGCACCATTTCCCCCTCTCCCCTCTCCCCTCTCCCCTCTCCCCGGGCCTGATAACGCTCATCCACTCTCTTCAGAGCTGCCTGTTCTGGACAGTTACTGGACATGGAATCACAATGCACAACTTGGTCAGTCTCACTTTCTATAATGTTTTCAAGGTTTATCCATGTCGCAGTGTGTATCATCCCTTCATTTTTATGGCTAAACAGTGTCTCATTGCAGGGGAATACCATAACTATAATATGTCTGTCATACATTGATGGGCATCTAAGGTGTTTCCAACCTCAGGGTATTTCAGATAGAAAGATATGACATTTTTCCAACAGGTCAACAAATTCACAAATTGACTACGTCAAAATTATTGCTTATTATTTTGTTAATTATTAAGTTTAAAATTAAAACTTATTGCTGGGCAGTAGTGGTGTACACCTTTAATCCCAGCACTTGGGAGGCAGAGGCAGACAGGTCTCTGCGAGTTCAAGACCAGTCTAAAAAAAAAAAATTACCAACTTCTTTATTTTTTTTTCCTTCTTCTTTGAGACAAGCTCTCTGTCCTGGAACACACTATAAAGCCTGACCTCAAACTCACGGCAATCCTCCAGCTTCAGCCTCCACAAAACTTAGTATTACAACTGTGTGCCACCACTCACAGCTTGAGGTTAGACACTGTCACTGTTACTTGTCAGAATGAGGCAGAGCTGAGCCAGGCGGTGGTGGCACATATCTTTAATCCCAGCACTCAGGAGGCAGAGCCAGGTGGATCTCTGTGAGTTCGAAGCCAGCCTGGTCTACAGAGCGAGATTCAGGACAGCACCAAAGCTACGCAGAGAAACGCTGTCTCAGAAAAAAAAAATGAGGCGGAGCTGGAGATGTGTCTCAATGCAGAGCGTCTACCTAGCATGGGCAAGGCCCGAGGTCGATTTGCAGTGGAAGGAGGTGCTACAACCACAGAGTTGGGGGTGATGAAACGCATGTAAGACTGACAAGGAAATATATCCAGAGTATTTGTCAAGTTCTGACACATCAGTGAGAGCAGCACAATGGGAGAACGTGCGTCAGTTAGATACTTCAGGAAGAGGAAATCCAGCAGCCAGGGAAGTTGTGCAAAGGGCACAGCCTCACTCACCACCAGGAAACCACAAGAGAAATCACTGTACTCCAAACCAGAAAGACTAAATTAGAAGAGACTAGAAGACCAACAGTGTAAGATTCTTGGGAGGGAAACTCACACCACCAGGGGAAATATAAATTGACCAACTATAGGGGCTGGAGAGATGGCTCAGCAGTTAAGTGCACTGACTGCTCTTCCAGAGGACCCAGGTTCAATTCCCAGGACCCACATGGCAGCTCACAACTGTCTGTAAGTCCTGTTCCAGGGGGGTCTGACACCAATGCACATAAAATAAAAGTTAAATAAAAAATTGACCAGCTATTTGGAAAAGTCCAGTGTTCTTTTTCTGACTTTGAAAGTCCAAGGGGTGGAGCTCAGTTGGTAGAGCGCTTGCCTAGCATGCATGAAGCCTCAGGTTCAATCCCCGGCACCGCATAAACTGGGTGTGGTGGCACATGCCTGTAATCCCAGCACTCAGGAGGTAGAGGCAGAAGAATCAAAAATTCAGAGGTCATCTGTGGCTACCTAGGAAGTTTGAGGCTAGCCTGGGATACACGAGACCCTGTCAGAGTTGGAGTGGAGAAATCAGGGAGGGAGAAAAAGGGAGATTTGAGTTGTTTCCACTTCGGACTATGATCAAAAATATTGTTACGCTAGCCCTGACTGGAGACCAGCCGTTGGTTATACTACAGCTGTTGGTTTCAAGAGCAGCCTAGAGGACTGTCTTCCTGTGGTTTATTGGCTGTTCTAAACCCAAAAGAGGCCGAATTCCAGCACTCGGGAGGCAGAGGCAGGCGGATCTCTGTGAGTTCGAGGCCAGCCTGGGCTACAGAGCGAGTTGTAGAACAGCCAGGGCTGCACAGCGGAACCCTGTCTCAAAAAACCCACAGTTCACGAAAACAAAAGGTGATGGTGTTGCTATGAACATACTCCCACTGCTATTTTATACATATGCTTCATTTCTCTTGAGTGTATTGCTATTTTATACATATGCTTCATTTCTCTTGAGTGTATTGTTATTTTATACATATGCTTCATTTCTCTTGAGTGTATTGTTATTTTATACATATGCTTCATTTCTCTTGAGTGTATATGCAGTAATGGAACAGCAAGGCCATACATTACCACTTCTGTTTGTTTGTTTGTTTGTTTAGAGATGGGATCTCTCTACATAGCCCTGGCTGTCCTGGGACTCCCTATGTAGACCAGGCTGGCTTCACACTAACAGATCTTTCTGCCTCTGCATCCCAAGTGCTGGAATTAAAGGTGTGCATCACCTTACCCTGTACTTTCCTTTTACTTTTTAAGGAACTGCCAAACTGCTTTCTAGTGTGCACCATTTTATCTCTCCCTACTGCATTTTATCAAGATTCCAGTTTCTTTAAATCTTCACTAGCATCTTTATTTTGTCTCTTTTGTTTGTTTTTTGAGACAGGGTTTCTCCGTGTAGCCCTGGCTGTCCTGGAACTCATTCTGTAGACCAGGCTGGCCTCCAACTCCTCAGAGATCTACTTGTCTCTGCCTCCTGAGTGCTGTAACTAAAGTCCTCTGCCACCCCCCTGGCTTTATTTTGTCATTTTAATTATGGCCATCCTGGTAACTATGAAGTGGTATACCTACAGTGTTAGTCTGACTGTTTTTGATACAATGTCTCACACTCTAGTTCAGGATAGCTTGAGGAACTCACTATGTAGCCCAGCCTCAAATTTGTGACAATGTACATGCCTTATCCTGTCAAACGCTGGAATCATAGGCAGTCATCATCATGCCTGGTTCTGTATATCTTCTTTGAAGAAACAGTCAAAAAACCCATTAGTTAATGGAAAGATAAACTGTTGTACATTCACATCAAGAAATAAAAAAGAAATAAAAGCCCACGCTTTTAGTCCCAGCACTCAGCAGACAGAGGCAGGCCTGGTGTACAGAACGAGTTCCAGGACAATCAGAGCCACCCAGAGAAACCTTGTCTCAAAAAACAAACAAGTGGGCTGGAGAGATGGCTCAGAGGTTAAGAGCACCGACTGTCCTGAGTTTGATTCCCAGCACCCACATGGTGGCTCACAACCATCTGTAATGAGATCTGGCACCCTCTTCTGTGTACATAATAAATAAATAAATCTTTAAAAAAATAAACAAGCAAAAAGGGGAGTAAAAAAGGAAAAAAGAGAGAGAGAGAGAGAGAGAGAGAGAGAGAGAGAGAGAGAGAGAGAGAGAGAGCAGAGGTACTGGAGAGGTTGCTCAGTGGTTAAGAGCACTTGCTCCTCTTCCAAAGGATCCAAGTTTGGTTTCCCTGTATCCATGTCAGGTGGCTCATCTGTAACTCTGAACTCCAGGGGATCTGGTGCAGTCAGGCCTCTGCACATGGTGTAAGTTACACAGATATATACATACAAATAAATAAAAACAGTCAATATAAATAAAAAAGAAGGGAAGAGGAACCTACTGATACAGCAGATGAATCTCTAGGGTGCTATGCCAAGTAAAATAAGCCAGTTTTAGAAAGTTTCAATACTGCTGATTAATTTTTCCCCCTTTTAAAATTACTTGTCTCTTTCTGTTTAAGGTATAATTTTAAAATATATATTTTGGATAACTTTTGCCAGGCAGTGGTGGCACACACCTTTAGTCCCAGCACTCGGGAGGCAGAGGCAGGTGGATCTCTGAGTTTGAGGCCAGCCTGGTCTACAGAGCCAGTTCCAGAACAGCCAAGGCTATGCAGAGAAACTGTTTCAAAACAAATTTTGATTTTGCTTTAGTTTTGGTATATGGAATAAACTTGTGGCCTTGTTCATGCTAAGCGTGGGCTCTACTACTGAGCTGTCCCCAAGTCCCTTAGTTTAGATAAGTTCTTTATTAGACATATGATTGTCAAATATTTTTTATCAGGCATGTGGCACACACCTCTAATCCCAGCACTTGAGAAATGGAGGCAGGAGGATCACAAATTCATGACCAGCCTAAACTACATAGCAAGACCCTCTCTCTCTCTCAAAAAAAAAAAAAAAAAAATGCTCAGTAGTGGCGGCACATGCCTTTAATCCTAGTACTCAGGAAGCAGAGGCAGGGGGATCACTGAGTTTAAGGCCAGCCTGGTCTACAGAAAAAGTTCCTGGACAACCAGGGCTACCCAGAGAAACCCTGTCTTGAAAAACCAAAAAAGTAAAATTAAAAAAACTAAAACTCGCCGGGCGGTGGTGGCGCACGCCTTTAATCCCAGCACTCGGGAGGCAGAGCCAGGCGGATCTCTGTGAGTTCGAGGTCAGCCTGGGCTACCAAGTGAGTTCCAGGAAAGGCGCAAAGCTACACAGAGAAACCCTGTCTCGAAAAAACAAAAACAAACAAACAAACAAACAAAAAAACTAAAACTCAATTAGTGAATAAAAATTATCTTTCTCAATCTGTGGGATATTACCCAAGACTTACTATAAATCTGTAGTAATCAAGACAATGTCATTGTGGCTAAACATAGACATGTAAATCAGTGGGACAGAATGGAGTCCAGAAGCTGTCTTATAAAAATATGGCTAATTTGGGCCAGCAAGTTGGCTTAGTGGATAAAGGTGCTTGTAACCAAGCCTGATGACCAGAGTCTCATCCCTAGGATCCACATGGTAGAAGACAAGACCTGACTCTGTCAAAGTTGTCCTCTGACCTCCAGTTATGTGCCATGGCACATGCACACACAAGAAATGAAATGTAATAAAATATGGCTAATTAATGTTTACACTCCCTCTTGGCAAAGATGCAGAGAAGTGATAGCTAATTAGCATGGGGGGCGGGGGCGCACGTGTAAGCCTGAGGATCGAGTCCAGGGCCTCACACAAGCTAGGCAAGCACATATCCCCAGCCTAGCCAATTAAATTTGTACCAATAAGTGTGAAAAGTGAATCTATTAGAGAGCTTAGAGTCTTTGCAACAATTAACCGTGGAGCAGATGTCCATGGCCAAAAGTAATTAACAGAGGCCTGACCCTCATACCTCGAACAAAAATGATCTCAAAATGAACCATCTGTACAAACACAAGACAAACTATGACACTTTTAGAAGAAAATATAGATTACAAATCTTTGTGTTTTGTGGATAGGCAGTGAATTCTTAAGAATTCTTTCTTAAACTGGGTGTGGTGACCCATACCTTTGATCCCAGCACTAGGGAGGTAGAGGCAGGTGGGTCTCTATGAGCCAGCCTGGTCTACATAGCAAGTTCCAGGACAGCCAAGGCTACAATAGTGAGACTCTTTCTCAAAAAATAAATTCTTTCTTCCACTTAATTTAATTTAATTTTGAGATAGGGTCTCACTACGTAGCCCTGGCTGGCCTGGAACTCACTATTTAGACTAGGTTGCCCTCAGGTTCACCAAGATGCATCTGCCTCTGCCTCTTGAGTGCTGAGATTAAAGCCATGCACCACAGTCCAAAAGAATGAGTTCTAAAATAGGAGCTTGATAAATTAGATTGCATAAAATTCAAACTTTGGTTCTACAAAACTTTCCTAAGATGAACTGAGGGCTGGGTGAGTTGTCTCACTAATAGTGGGTAGAGGCACTTAGCACCTCTTAACAATGTGAGTTAGCTGTCCCCTGACTTCCACACATGCGTTGTGGCACATGCATGCCCCTTCACACAAAATAAACAAATGATAAATGGAAAAAAATTGAAAGATGAAATTAAAAAATAAAAAACTGATGGAAAGTATTTGCAAACAACATATCAGACAAAAAGAAACGCATCCAAATTGTACACAGAATGCCCATAAGCCGCCAGTAAGAAAGTAGCCTAGTTTAAAAGTGGACAGAGTACTTGAGCAAAGAGGCTACTGTAGATAACATATAGATGGCAAATAGCCACATGAAGAGATCTTCCACTTCACTGGCCATCAGAGAAATACAATTCTCAGCCATGATGTTACATCACTATTTACCTGTCAAAACACTAAGATTCAAAAACTCTGGCAGTGATACACACAGGAATACAAAACAGCAAAGATACTCATGAAAACAGTTTGTCATTTCTAATAAGGTTAAATATGCATTTTGCATATGCCAGCACATCTACTCCAGGATATAGATACATCTACAGACACAGGGATAGAGAAACAGAAACCTATGTTCATGCACAGACTTCTCTGTGAATGTTCAAACTGTCTTTATTTTGTAATAACCCCACACTAGAAACTGTCCAAAAGTCCTTCAGTGAACGAAAGGACAAACTGCTGCATATTTACATCATAAAATAAAAAGTAGCCAATAGCTGATACTGCAGATGAAGCCACAAAACAGTCGGCAGGATGAAAGAAGCCAGTCTTAAAGGATATAACACTGTGTGATTCCAGTCACACAATTTTTTGAAAAAGATGGATTAGCATGGCTTAGGTCAGGAGCAAGAGGAAGATGAGGCAGCAAATGGGTGGCTGTGGGGGTTTCTGGGATGGCCGGGCTATTCTATATCCTGATTGTGACTTGGTTACATAAATCTATATACGTGTCAATTCAGAGGACAATGAGCAAATCAACTTCACTGCATATTGAGATAAATTAAAAGAATCGTATGTTTCACCAGACACTGGTTGCTGTGGAGGGCTATGGGGCAAATTGACGATTTTCTTTGGTTAACCTGTCACCTCCTGGTGGGAGCAGACTTCCATCCTCTTCCCTCAGTGCTGAGTGAGAGGGGCCTACTACTTCCTTGAAGGAAACCCAAGAGTCACGGGAACTAGGGGACACGGGTGGCACAAGCAATTTGTGATTCTGAAATGAGTGGGGACAGTGCAGATCTGGACACAAGGAATGACCTCCTGACATGGCTGGGCCGCTATCTCTCCTGGATTCTGTGCAGGACTATGACCAACACCCCACCCACCCCCTTTAGACCGAGGGGAGTGGGCAGGAGCGATAGCGCTTGACCTCCAAGTCCCACCAGGCCCTGATTCCCATTGTTGCTGTGTCTGATAACAGGCCCCACCCTGCAAGCCCCCTCCCCTCTCCCAAGCAGTGGTCACAGCCAGGCAGGCCCCTGACTTTGTGTATATAAGGGGACACTGAGGACAAGCACCATCAGGCCAGTCCTGAGTGCATTCAAGCTCCAGCACAGCCTCCAACACTCACCACCACCACCATGTCTCTGATGAAGAATGAGAGAGCTATCATCATGTCCATGTGGGACAAGATGGCTTCCCAGGCTGAGGCCATCGGCACTGAGACTCTGGAGAGGTAAGTCCAGGCACTGGGGCTTGAGTAACCAAATGAGAAGCCAGGGATCAGTGAAAAGGGAATGACAAGGAGAAGTTCATGGGGAGAAGCCACTGAGAAGGGGCCCTGAGGAGGGGGTGGTGAGGATGGTAAGGACTGAGATGGTGAAGAGTGACTGGCCAGAAGGGACTGTGAGAGCAGTACTTGTAAGGAGGGGGTCCAGGTGGGCCGATGAGCTGCTAGAGGAGGTGGACTGGCATTCACAGCCCTCGCCAAAGTCCTCCACATGGCTCCGCAAGTCTTTCTTGAATGAATAGGAATGAATGGATGCAAGAAAGAAGGGCAGGCAGTGAGCAGATACAGTGGAGCCTTGTGCAATAGGAAATAGTAACATCAATCTTGGGGCTTTTTTAAATATTTATTTATTATGTGTGTGTGTGTGTGTGTGTGTGTGTGTGTGTGTGTGTGTGTGTGTGTGTAGGCATCGGATTCCCTTGCACCTTAGTTACAGAAGGTTCGAAGTTCTCTTCAAGGGCAGGCAGTGCTCTTGAAGAGTACGCACTGAGCAGTCTCTCTAGACCCGGTTTTTGTTTTGTGTTTTGTATTATTTGATGTACATTTTTTTGCACTTAATTTCAATAGTTTATTTTGTGTTCATTGGTGCTTTGCCTGCATGTATATCAATGTGAGGGTGTCAGAAACCCTGGAACTGGAGTTACAGACAGTTGTGAGCTGCCAGAAGGGTGCTGGGAACTGAACCTGGGTCCTCTGGTAGAACAGTCAGTCCTCTTAACCGCTGAGCCATCTCTCCAGCTCTTAATTTCATTTCTTTAACTACTGCGTAAAATATTGTTTTGTTTTGCTTTTCTGTGTGGTACGTCTTTGTGTACCCCTTAAATCTTGAGCCCAAGGCAAGCGCCAGGGTCCTAGCCCTCCGCCTAACGAACACCCACAAAACTAACGCTTTCTCCCGACCCCCAGGCTCTTCTGTAGCTACCCCCAGACGAAGACCTATTTCCCGCACTTCGACCTGCACCACGGGTCGCAACAGCTGCGTGTCCACGGCTCCAAGATCTTGGCTGCTGTAGGCGACGCGGTTAAGAACATCGACAACCTCTCGAGTGCTCTGACCAAGCTGAGCGAGCTGCATGCCTACATCCTGCGTGTGGACCCGGTCAACTTTAAGGTGGGTTTGTGAGAATGGAAGGGGTGATCAGCAGGGAAGGACGCAAAGCAGGAAAGCGGGTGAGGTCTCCGCTGCACTGTGCACTGAATCTCCCTCCCCGCCTCCGCAGCTCCTGTCCCACTGTCTGCTGGTCACCCTGGCCTCACGCTTCCCGGCCGACTTCACCGCTGAGGTCCACGAAGCCTGGGACAAGTTCATGTCTATCCTGTCTTCCATCCTGACTGAGAAGTACCGCTAAGCGCCACCGCCACGACCCCCAAGATGGGCTACGACCCCTCTCCTCCCCTTCACTGAACCCTCCCTAGGGTCTTTCCAGTAGCCCCCAATAAATGGTTGAAAATAGAAATAACTGGTCCTGTGTTCTCGTTCTCTGAGGGAAACGGGAATGGGGACGCAACGGGATGCACAGGGGCTTCCAGGAACGTTGTGGATCCTAGTGCCACACACTGCCTGAAGGACATTCCTAGGGTGGTTGGGGGAGGGTCTTGCGCTTAAGAGCCCCCAGAGTCACAGCACGCAGGAAGCAGAGCATCCCAGGGCCATCCCACGCGGGTCCTCGGTCAGATGTGCAGCTGGGCTTCTCCTTCCCAATCGCTTCGCACAGAGCGGTGGTGGGTGTCAGGAATTCCCCAAAGTCTGACATCCCAGCTCCTGCCGCCCTAGCAGCTGGGGGGGAGGGGTGTCCCTGTCCTTAAAGGGACAGATGATTTCCTGGCTGGATTCTTTCTGGCTCCCTCCAGACAGAGCAGTAACTGGCTTCTAAGGAGTAATTACAGGTTCTGAGAGTTCAAAACGAAGACACCCACCACAGGATTGAGCCAAGCCAGAAGCCCCATCCGCAGGCCTCACTCCGGGCATGTTTCTGTAGACAGGCGGAGGGGCTCTGCGTCGCTACTGAGCTCAGCGGGTCAGGGCGATCTGGTGGGGGGACGGGGGGGGGGGGTGTTAGGGGACTCTGATGAAGAGGCGGGGCGCGTGCCCCCCCCCCGAGACCTCCACGACGGTACCAAACTCAGCACCCAGCAGTGCGGCCACATTGCACCTGACCGCCCACCACCAGGCACACTTAGAAAGGCAACTGTTACTCGGGTGGAAATGGCGGGGTCTCCAGGGCCTCTAGGAAGCAGCCCAGGACCAGCCCACGCAGGTCTTCAGTCAGATCTTAGCCCTCCACCTTACCATGTCAGGGATGGGGCATGGGGCTCACCTGACGTTTCCCGGGGCGCTAAACAAAGTGCGAGGGTTAGTGGGAACCACACGGCTGCCCTGCCTGCTGAGGTAGCTATTCATGCTGTACCCCAACTCCAAGATTTCCTGCAACTAAATAAATGCGGGTCAGAGAGGCGCTGAGCTTCGGACCGGACCGCGCATGCTCGCGGCTATGTCCTGTGCAGCATCTGGACCACTCGTCCGCAGATCTGACTGGCTCTGGTGCTCCAGGTAGGCCCTACCAACGTTCCTGTGAGCTTATCCGGCCTACATAAGGGTCCAGAGCACAGCTGGGTGTGTTCAACAGAAGTTACTGTGGCTGAATGGCTGACTCGTCCCTTTTTCTAAAACTGCTAATCCAGTGTTTCAGGGTGGTACTGACTTCCCATCTGCCGGGTGAGTTGACTGTGGACATGCAGGCAGAGGGGGACAAGTTGTGTGGAGCTAACTGAAAAGTACTGCTAAGTCGCTGGCCTCAGTCTGTGTTAACAGAGCCTTCAAAATGGTGTATGACATTTTGGAGAACTAGAAGGGTTACATCCCTGTGGCAGGACAAAGAAGTTCAGTATCCCTCAGATAGTCCCCTAGAATTAGTAAATGTCCATTCAGACTTGTCCTCCTATGCCGCTGAGTGCCATGGGGCAGAGAGAGAGAGCTTGGATGGGGGCAGGGGAGTGTGTTCTTTTCCAAGTCAAATCTGGCACCAAGGCGTGTCACAGCATCCCCAAAGCAGATCTATGTATTCTCATGCATCCATTCTCCCTTCACCTCCTCCTTAGCTGGGACTTCAGCAGCCAATCCCTGGACTTCTGCAAACAAAGATGGAACCAAGCCCCTGGGATCAAGTGTATAACCTGAAGCCTGGTAAAGATGGGCAGGTCCAGGCTTCACCTCCGTTCCTTTCCACTCCTGTTCCTTCCTAGCATGCTCTCTCTGCAACAATCCTTGACCTGGAACAGGTTGCCCCTTCCTCTGAACCTCACAGCATGGGGAGAGTTGGGGATTGTTGGTGGCCACATTGTGGCAGAGAGATCACATTGACAAGCTGGTTGATTCTGTGCATGTATGAGCTGTCAAGCAGACAACCATGAACTCACTAGGTTTTTCAAATTAATTTGAGATCGCGGTGCATGGTGGATACCAGACAGTAGCTCCCCACCCCATCCTGGATACTTAAACTTTGGGGCTCTTTCCCACACGATGTCTCAACCCTCCCAGGTTGACTGAGGAGCAAAAATCACAGGGCTCCTGTGGTTTGTTGGCAAAGAACAAAAACTAAAAAGAACATGATTCTGAGGCTTTGTAAACACTGAAAACATATGGTCTCCAGGATGACACCCCATAGTGTAGGGAGCACTAGACCCGGTCCGGCACAATGCCAGATCTGAAAAGGGATGTCCTATCCATGCCTCCCTGAACTCCTCCAGTAGCTGGTGCTGAGGACCTGCTACCCTGAATTGCCTGAACACTATCTGAGCAGAGAGAGGAGGGGAAGTTAACAAACACCCTCCTTTGCTACATGGGCCCATAACGGCTTGTAGTCCTTGGGAAAACATGATAGAAAATAGCATATAAGATTACATGGCCAGTGAATTGCATCAGTCAGTAAAAGCACTTGCCATGAAGCCTGAGGACCTGAGTAAGATCCCCAAGACTGACATGGTAGAAGGAAGGAATGACTCCCACAAGTTGTTCCCTGACCTCCACACATGTGCCATGGCACACACCCAATAAACAAACAAACAAACAAAGTCTGGGTCTGGTCCACACAAGGATGGATGGTGCATTTAGCAGCTTCTAGAAACTGCAAGAACCACAAGATACCGTGGTTTACGACATACAGAGCCTGGTCTCTGCCTACACAGTACTGTGAGACTTAAAGCAACCCGGAGAGCTGAGTGAAGCCCTAACCCCTCCCATCTGCGTTCCCAGTAAGGTTCTTCCCTAGATGAATGAGCTGAGCCCAGGAACCTGGCTGCACTCACACCCTACCACAGTACACTACCTCATCCATCTCTTGAACACTGTACATAAATGCACAATGCTCCCCAGATCCAGTAGTTCTGGTTTGGACACAGATTCAGAAAGAGCACACCATGGTTCTCTCTGTTAATGATAAGGCCGACATCGGGGCTATCTGGGACAAGGTAAAAAGGCATAAGGCTGACTGTTGTTAGGAGACCCTGAAGAGATGAGGAATCTTCTGCCTTCTCTCCTGCTCTAACTCCTGGGTTGGACACCAAAAGCCACCCATCAGTCCTGCTTACAGACCCTAACTAAACTTCCCCTAACCTTTCCCAATCCCCTTTACCCACCACCACCGCTTCTCTTCACAGGCTGGTTAACAGCTTCCTCAGGACCTACTCCCCTGATGACAACCAGAACCCTGACTCTGTCCAGGTCAGGACCCAAAGCAAGGAGGTAGCTCCTGTGCTGAGCCATGCAGTGGACCAAATGAACAACATCCCTACTATCTTGTAGGCTCTGAGTGGACTACATGCTGTGTGTCCCAGGCCAACTTCAAAGTCATCAAGCAGGCAGGGCTCAGAAAGGTAAAGGGGGGTGGTCCTCAAAACTTGAAACTGACCCCATGGGTTCCAGAAAATGAAGCTCCTTGTGGCTAGAAGTTAGCCTCCAGATACCGTTAAACCAGAACCTTGGGGTTCGAACCCGGCCCTATTAGGCCCTCCTTCCTTTCCAGATCTGCATACCCTGGGCTAAATAAAATATGTCTGGATGGTAACCTATGTGTCTGGGGTCTCTGTGTCACTGACATGTCAACAGTGACTATGATTCTACTGACTTGGCCCAAGGACATTTCTGCAGCTGCAATGGGAAAGGGGAGCCGCTGTGAACATCTGGAGAGAAGGGCTCTGAACCATTCCCATAGCCTGGGAAAAGCCAACCAACCGTCCCAGGGGGCTTGTCTCAGGGGACTGAGGAGGAAAGTCCCAGATGTGCTGCCTCCTGGGAAATGTCATTGACCCGTATCAGCTAAACGTACAACACAGATCACCACAGACCACATCTTCAGGGAAGTGGTCCCAGCTACTACAGAGGCTGAGGCAGGGAAATAACTAATTCAAGGCCAGGCTCAGCTTGAAAAAAAACTAAGCTAGGTGTTAAGGTGCAAACTGCAAGCCCAAAACTTGAGAGGTGGAAGCGGGAAGGTCTTAAGTTCAAGATCAGTGGAAGCACAGAAAGAAAGAAAAAATCCCCCTCCAGGCTTAGCAATATGAGGTATAAAGGCCAGTTGGGTCTACATAAACACCTGTCCCAAGACGCAGAAGGAAAAAAAAATCAAAGAAGGGAAAGGAGAAAAAAAGAAGTGAAAGGGAGAAAGGAAGGAAGGAAGGAAGGAAGGAAGGAAGGAAGAAAAGAAGGAAGGAAGGAAGGAAGGAAGGAAGGAAGGAAGGAAGGAAGGAAGAAAAGAAGGAAGGAAGGAAGGAAAGAAGGAAGGAAAGATGGAAGGAAGGAAGGAAAGATGGAAGGAGGAGAGAACAGAGAGAAAGAAGAATTGGACAGCCATTTGGACTTCACACACTTTTTGTGATTCCAGTTGGGAAGTTAGTCCCTCTGCTCTGTCTCCCTCAAGCCAAGTCACAGAAGTTGGAACTGAGCCCAGGAGCTTCCACTGACCACCACCTCATGCCCTGTTTTATCATACATCTATTTCTGCAGTGCTGGGACTGAATCCAGAACCTTCCTCACACTAGGTAAACATTCTGCCATCCAAGTACATCTCCAGCTTCTTTACTATTGTTTGGTACTATAACAAAGATGGGGTCTCTCTGCAGAGGCTGACCTTGGATTCCTGGGCTCAGCCTGCCAGTACCCGAGGTTCCCCACCTGTGACACCAAAACCAGCTCTTGGTACTTTTCCTTTTCATCCATGGGAGCACTGGCAGCACTGGGCAGCTAAGATGAAGTCAGGGAGTCTGCTGGCCCGCCCTGCACTTCTCTGCTCTTAGGAGGCTGAGCCAGGAGGTTCACTTGAGCCAAAGGATTCCAGGCCACCCTGGACAACCCAGCAAAACCTGTCCACACAAAAGGAGGAAAGGGAGAGCTAGGGGGAAGAAGAGAAAGGAGGATCCAGGAGAGCAGAGTAGACACAGGGAAGAGAGAGGGAAGAGGGGAGAGAAGACAGGGGGAGGGCTCCTCGGTGGGTCCCTAGCATCTTACCCTTCTTGTTTCCAGAAGAGTGTGGGGGGTGAGGAAGGAGAGTGAGAAGCTGGGACCCAGGGCAAGGTGGAGGGGGATGGGCACTGCTCAGGCTGGTCTGAGCGACTTCCTTCTCTGCCCAAGGCACTGGGACCCTTACTTCTTCCCAAACACCATCACTGGAGACAAAGGAAGGGGCGAGAAGCACCCCAGAGGGTGATGAGGATTCCCTGCCCCCCCCTCCCCCGGTGGAGGCCCATGGCCGCCTCCAAGAACCCGGGCGCCCCCTGCCGGCCTTGCTCTGCAGCGCACCGCCCTAGCCAGCCAGTGAGGGCCGACCCGAGGGCGTGGCCCAGGCGCCGCACGTATATAAGTGCAACTTGCTGCAGCTCCAACACACTTCTGATTCTCACAGACTCAGGAAGGAATCATCATGGTGCTGTCTGCGGAGGACAAGGCCAACGTCAAGACATGCTGGAGCAAGATTGGCGGCCACGGTGCTGAATATGGCGCAGAGGCTCTAGAGAGGTGAGACCCG